CAATATTTTAAACTTTTAACTTAGTAAAGTAACGATAAAAAATACATTGTAATTTTGACAAAGCGCAACGTTAATTTAAAAATGTTATACCAATATTGACTTATTATTATATAGTTTTATAAATTTGGTGTACATAGAGCTCATGTATTAAGATTTTGTGACTATAGATTGTTACTTTGGGTAAAAACAAGCATGCCGTCAAACTGAGTATTTTTAAAAACATTTTTATTATCTATATGTACATATATTATTTTGTTTAAAATAGCAAACCTTAAATATATAATCTCTATACCTTTGTAACGAGTTCATTACTGAAAACAACTGTATATTTCGTCACATAAACAGAAAAATAAAAGTATTTTTTGTTTATGATACTACTGGCTTTATAATCCCACGGACTCAAACTTCTTAAGAGTCTATTCTTACAGTGCCATACTGTATATAGAGCGTCGGCTACCTCTCGCATGTACTTGTGATGTGTGTCGTCAGTGTTTCACAAGTACACGGGATCTGCAGTTTATCGCCGAATCCGAACGGCACTATTTGAGAGGCGATACAAAGCAAATATATTCAAGGTGGTTTGCCATTGCCTTCCTTGAGGTGGCGGCTTGTTGGTCGCTCTATTTAGATAAATAAATATTTTTATTTAAATAAATAAAGCGACCGTACTAGCTGGGGATCGAACCACTCTACCGCTGGAGCTACAGCCGGCCACAAGAGTCTATATGTATTATTCTGGTTGCTCTCGGAGGGCGGGTAAAGCGGGTCTGTGGCCGAAAGAAATATATATATATATATATATATATATATATATATATATATATATATATATATATATATATATATATATATATATATATATATATATATATATATATATATATATATATATATATATATATATATATATATATATATATATATATATATTTCACAAATCTGCCTAAAGCTTAGCCCGATCCTGTCGTGTTAAGCCACACCCAAAATTGCAGACACATGTGCCTGGATTAAGGCTTGATTAAGGTTTGCTGAGTTTCAGCATTTGCCATAAAATAGCGAGCAATTATAAAACCATATAAATTATATATCACTGTAATCACAAAACTTCAATCTATTTCCGTATTTTAACGGAATTTTAAATTATGTCTTTATTTTCGAGAAAATTAAGTCCAAACATAAGGAATATTTTGCTGATGTTTGACCATCAAAATCTTTAAAATAAAGAAGTTGTCTAAAAATGTGCTACAATACGGATATAGTATAATCCTTTATCTTTAATTTCCTTCTTCATTTGTGTAAAAATACCTAGCCAGTTTTACATAAAACGTTAAATGCCGAAAGCTTATTTTGCTACTTTTTCGGACTAGTGAAATGGACTCTTAGCCCACGGCCACACAGAAAGCGGTTTTAGGGTTTTGCGTTTTTTGCGTCTCAATCGCTTTTTGCGATTTTACCGTTTTAAGCGCTTTTTTCGATTTGTGTCCATTAAAAACACGCAAAAGACGCGGCACACAGTGCTTCGAACATATGGCTCTAGAGGACAAAAATGCAAAACTTCTCTTTTATTGTAGGCAATTTATTCAAACTAGGTTTATTTAACACAAATGATGAGTACTCTCATTGTACTAAACGGTGATGTTCTAAGTCCCACGTTTATGAAAAAAAATCTTATAAATAATAAAAATGTTGGAGCGGTGTTCCATCTAAGGAAATAATAATGTATAGTATGAAAACGGTGTAAGTATTAAATAAATCCCTGTGATAAAAAAGAATTGAAATAACATTAGAACATGATTCCTACAATATAAGCCTAATATAAGATAAACTGTTTTTTTGTAATGAAAAAGAAACATTAATGCTATATTTAATTAAAAAAAAAACTTAAGATACTATAAATTTACTTTAGGACAACAAAATGCATAGATCGTAACTACTCTGATTCAGAAGAATCACTGCTGACAGAATCTTCCAAATTTATAGTATTCAAATCACAGGTAGATGAAATATCCTCACAGATAAGATATTTCTGTACAACATTTTCTAATATGTTACTTTTTCGCGTTGTTACTGTTCTTTTTGTTGGTATGAGGGGTTCGGATGTTAATAGTTACCTCTTTATTAGACCATATCCATATATTATTTTTTCCTTTTCTTGGGTATGAGGTTTTATAATAAATTGAAAGATGGAAACTTTTTTATGCGACGTTTCGCTCCAACATAGTGATCTTTTTCAGGCACAAGTGGTGTCTCATTTGACTGGAAGGTTCATCAATATCTAATAGAGAACACATTTTTTGAAATACAAATAATTTTGAGTTCTTGTCCTTATGATCAAGCCAAGTATTAACCAGATTGGCATTCCTTATCAATTTTACTCCATCTGAAAAGTATTATAAAATAAAGTTCGTCGCAAGCAGACGCAGGTGAACTATACAAAAATTAAAAGTGTATGAATATGACAACAAAAATATTCAATAAATACGATATGTTTTGATATGTTTTTTTTAAATGCCTTTTTGAAGTTTGAAAACGTAAAATTTTTATACCCATTTAAGAATCATCTTAAAAATAAATAAAAACTAAACAATCACGAACTTGTTTAGAAATAAATTTAAAGTACATACCTTGTTTAACAATATCCATAGTGGCTTTCAATTAAGTAAGTACCGTTTAACTCCATAATATACAGAACTACTATGAATGTTATTATTTTCACTGATAAGATAATGATCGCAAAATTTATTTTTAGTGAAAATATTTGCTCAGAAAAAACGCTGTTTATGAAAAATAATATACAGGATGGTTGAACATTGCTATAAGTATAAAATTACATATCCAGGTATTAGTAAATTTTAACTTATTTTTCGATTTTTGTCCATGGGACGAAGCACTGTGCGGCAGGTCTGCAGTTTCTATCAATATGTCAATTAGTAATGTTGCAAGCTCGTGGATTCCCGGCCCGTCCAACAATCAATCCTGTGAGAAAGAGATAGGCGGGATCGGCGCCGTTAGCGTTGAAGAGACGAAGATAAAAGATGCTGGGATTGAATTGTGGACGGGCCGGGGCATATATTCGGAGATAAACACAATCTAGTGCCAGTGGTGTGTGTAAAAATCAAATACGTTTAAAATAAAGTATACGGAGGGTACCGCTTAAATTCCTGTCCCGATATTGAAGGATGGCTATAGAATTTCAATGCATTTCCTACATAAGTCAATCCTTGGTTTGTAGGAGGTTTGACTAAACAAGGATGAACCTATGTCTTGAAACCATTCGACTCGATTTTCTGTCCTCCTTCAATACTGGGACGTAAATCCTCTCATTGCTCTTATGGGGAGGCCGTCGTATATTTTATTTAAACGTATTTGGTAAAAATAATAATTATTATTTGCCATTTATTTTACGAAGTTTAGTTTATATGTGTATAGTTTTTTATGTTGTAGTGTTGTGGTTAGTACTTGTTATAATTATAATATAATATAATAAATAATTATAATAATGCTAATGCAATTTTAGGACATGATTTATGAAACATTTTGGAGCGAAACGCTGTGGTCTTTACGCGCGCTGGGAGTAAAAATTCAAAGCCGTGACATACGAGCTAGTGAGACGGCCCTGACACACGAGCTCGTTGTAACGAAACGTGTTAACGGCTTAGAAATACGTAGTGACGCGACGTGTATTTGTGAGCAGTCCACGTGTTTATCAAAAATACTGATATTTTAATACAAATTTTGTAAAAGTGAATCATATTATTACGCGTAAAAAAACATTTGTTACACGTAAAAAACTATTTTATTATTTTACGCGAATAAAACTGTTACACGTAAAAAACTATTTTTTACGCGTATAAAACTATTTGTTACTGGTAGGAAACTATTTTTTACGCGTATAAAACTATTTGTTACGTGTAAAAATCTATTTGTTACAAGTAAAAAACTCTTTTTTTACGCGTCCAAAACTTATTGTTTCTGGTAGAAAACCTTTCTAACACAAAAAAAAAATTACGTGTAAAAAACTATTTGTTACACGTAAAAAACTAATTTTTACGCATCAAAAACGTATTGTTTCTGGTAAAAAACCTTTTGTTACGCAAAAGAAATATTTTTTACGCGTAAAACACTATTTGTTACACATAAAGAAACATTTTTTTACGCGTCAAAAACTTATTGTTTCTAGTAAAAAACTTTTTTACCCAAAAAAAATATTTTACGTGTAAAAAAACTATTTGTTACACGTAAAAAACTATTTTTTACGCGTCAAAAACTATTTGTTTCTCTTAAAAAAACTTTTTTTAAGCAGAAAAAAAAACACTTTTTGCGCATAAAAAAACTATTTTTTACGCGTAAGAAAATATTCCTTTATTACTTTTTCAACATTTCAAACTACACTTTTTCAAACATTTCCTTCAAATCTCCTAAACAGTAGATGTTCTTTATAAAAATATTTTTAGATAATACCCTAAAATGAAAAAAATGCATACTATTTAATTTATTTTTATTGTATTATTAATTATAACGTCCGCCTATGACGGGGTCTCATCTTAGAAAACGCTAAAGATACTACAGAAAACAAACTGATTTTTTTCATTTGCGTTTTTTGCGAGACACGCCAAAGGCTACACGTTTTTGGTGTGGCCACTCCTATATAATCCTGTTATTTTGTTTTACTCGCTCAAGACGCTTCACGCTAAAAACGCAAAAAACGCTTTCTGTGTGGCCGTGGGCTTAAGCTATATCACTACGTAATATGTTTTGTTCGTTTTACTATTTTTAACAAATCTTATTCAACATGTCTTACCCCCAAATGAGCGCATTTCTAAGTAAAAAAAGTAACTTCAAATATTAAAACATTAATGTTAATCCTCTAACTTAAGAATTAAATACCGAACAAATACTTTGAATGAAAATTTTCCAAAACTCAACATCAAAAACGAGACACATTTGAAAAATAGTAGGTAGGCCATAAATATCACAAATTCAAAAACTAACAGTCCTAGAGTTTGACGCAATATATTCCAAACACTTTACTCTTTATAAATATATATGTTAACCCAAATACAAAGAAAAATCTAGTTACTAAGTCCAAAACCAAACTGTAATGTCTGATAAAAAGTTATCAGATGTAAATACTATCAAAGGTAGAACCGAAATGTATTATATTCGCGCACAGAAACAAAAATTTCTCACTTTTAGAGTACGAAAAGATGATTTTGGCAGGACCGGCCGATTTTCAAACAGCGATAGCGGCCTCTGGTTTTGGCAAGTTTAACATAGTGCTGTTGCTACTGTTTATACCTTTAGGATGGACGCTGCATTTTGAGGCTCTGCTAATATCATTTGTCGTACCAGCAGCATCATGCGATCTCAACATGACACCTTACCAAAAGGGTGTGCTAAACTCTATGTCCTTTTTCGGTAAGTACAAAATATTCATGTGTCACCGGCACATAAGTCACCGGCACAAAAAACGGGCACCTTAAAATGTTGATGTATTTTAAAATTTAATATACCCAAGTAGCATTTTCACGACTTGCGACCACATGTTTACTAAACACAACGTTCGATTAGTTACAAAAAATAGTTAGCTCCCTACCTTAGGTATTAAAATAAATTTAAACGTTTTTATAACGTTGTGCCGACGTTGGACTAGTACTACAGCAAAGTAGAAGCTTCTGCGACGTCGAATAAACGTTGTCTTGTAACCTTTTTGCTTAAATGATCTTTAGGTGATTCGGACAACGTAGTTACAACGTTGGACAATATAGAGTTTTCCGACATCAGTTTCAGGACCTATTCCAACGTTATGCAAACGTCGTCTGTTTTACTAATTCCAACGTTGTTTAGATTTCCTTATTCTTACGTTGGTAGGACGTCGAGTCACTATCTTTTTGCAACTGTATTGAACCATAACCTTAAATCTTAAATTTTCACTTCATTGTTCTGTTCAGTCAGACAGTTCAGTGCTGTTTTTGTTTTTATAAAAAAACAACTTAATTAAAATGGGACATAAGAAAGGTACATATAAAACTAAATTTAAATATACATCGACATATATTACCGATAGTTTATCCACTCCCTCGTTTATTTAGATTATAGAGGGCGGCACAAGCTAGACTTTAGGATGACTAAATTAGGCAATCTTGCGACTAGTATACTACCTGTTAAGGCCGAACTGCGACTTTATTAGTTCAGTATGTGACTACTCGAACTACTCCATCTTAATCTCCAAAACAACAAAGTGAAAGCCGCCATGTTGTTAAATAAGAAAATGTTTCGTTCCTAAAATGCAATTCCTGCTTTTTGAATACATTAACTTGAAATATTTGACCCTAAAAAACACGCGGAAACAATTTTTTCGACTGCGAATAAATTATTCTCATTTTACTAAAAAAAATTCAAGAAAATATTTGAAACTTCTTTAATTTTAAGGCCCATTAGTATTTTTCAAAGTAGAAACAATACATTTATCAATAAAGTTGTTTGCGTTTAACTTTTTTGCCTTGGGTAACGAGTTACAGAGTCGGTTAAAGTGTTTCAATAATTATTATCTTCAAACATCCTCCACACTTAAATACCTTTGTTTTGTTTTCCTTGACTGCCATCTGACTTATGTCTCTAACTAAATCATAAAAATAATATTTTTACTATAATTATCCCAATTTAGGATAAAACGCGCTTAGACGCCATATTAGTTTTGTATTTCTGTGAATTAGGATTTTAAACAACGTTGCAGTTTGTACTAAATTAGGCTTCTAGCCAACGTCGGTATCCAACGTCGTTTCGACCCAAAAATTATTCTCCAAACTAGTGCAGACTAGGGTTGGCACGAGGTTGTGCCGACGTTGCGCCCCGACGTTTGGTCGCATGACACAACGTTATCCCGACGTCCAAATGCTGCTTGGGTATTTTGTTCTAGTGGACCGGTTTTGATGATTTTTTTTGTAGCTAAATTAATTGACTTTTTAGTATCTCTTTCTAAAATTGAAAATAAAAGTTTCCATTTGTCAATTATACAAGGGAAAACAAAATGTTGATATTTTGGTGAAAATTTGAAACACTCTGTGGAATATGTTAAAGGAATTTAAGAATAATTTTGTCATCTAGGTATGTCTTCTCTCGATGATGTTTTTTGATTCATCTCAATAGCTTTATTTTTATTGTAGATATTCGTTTTTGAATAAGACAGTTTTACAGTGCGTAGGTGCCCGGTGGCGTAGAGGTACAGGCTTTCGTCTACCAATCTCAAGGTAGTGGGTTCGAATCCCACACCCAGCATTGCATCAGCCGACTATTTTTATTAAAATAAAAATAGTTTGGGTACCTAGGTCAACTCAGCCTTAAATGAGTACTTAGGATTCACATTCCTGAGGTAATAATAGGCGGTTGAAGCGTAGTGCTAGCCACCTATATTACCTTCCTTGTATACCGAACGGCTCTAGTATAGCAAGCTACCTTGCTACTCCCAAGGCGTTAAATGCTATATACGGGAGCTATTAGGGGAGATTTACAGCTTTTTTATTATTGATTTTGGGTCTCGTCAACACACAAATAAAATAGCGTTTATTGATTTTGTAATGTCACTGTTATTGAAAAGTCATATTATTATTATTTATTGACATTTACTCTAGTAAAGATGGTAGAGTTTCTAGTAAAGGTGGTAAAGTTCTGAAGTAGCGGCTATTGCTGCTTTAATTGAGCATTGTAGAGATCAAATTTTGGACTTAAAACCATATCGGCTAGAGTCATTGCCCTACAGACAATAATAATATGATTTTTCAAAGACAGTGACATTACATGAATCGTAAACATTATTTTATAGGTCTGTTGACTAGAACCAAAAGCAAATAGTCTAAGAGCTAGCAACGTTTTAGATAAAGTATTTTAAGACGTCTGGCTCTTTGATATATATTTTACTCTGCTCTCTGGAACAGCATGCGGCCCGTCTGGCTACCGATACCCGTCGCGTTCACTACTGCGCATCGGAACAAGATCCTATGTTTTTTATTAATTTAGTCCTATAAATTCTAGTATTGAATATAAATCGAACATGTCTCCATAGCGCAGTGCGTAGAGTTTCCAACCACGAACCGATGATTTAGAGTTCGAATCCGGGCCAGGGCAAAGACTTTTTTATTTTAATTTCGTTTATATTCTGATAGTAAAGTATTAAATAATTCTAGTAATTCAAAAAAAAAAATTTAATATTTACTATCAGAATATATACGAAAAAAAAATAAAAAAGTTTTTGCCCTGACCCAGATTCGAACTCTGAATCATCGGTTCGTGGTCGGAAACTCTACGCACTGCGCTATGGAGATATGTTCGATTTATATTCAATACTAGAATTTAAAGGACTAATAACAATATAGGATCTCCTTTCAATGCGCAGTAGAGAACGCAACGATTACCGGTAGCCAGACGGGCCGCATGCTGTTCTAGAGAGCATAGTCAAAGATATATCAAAGAGCCAGACGTCTTAAAATACTTTTTTTTTCCGACGTTGCTAGCTCTCGTACTAAAAGGCATAGTTTAAAAATGAAATATACGCAAAAATGTTAGTGTCTTCTTCAAAAAATCTCCCAAAAAATAGAAAAAAACACCTAGATGTTAAAATTATTTTCAAATTCCTTGCTTTTTTAACATATTCCACAGGGTGTTCCAAACTTTCACCAAAATACCTAACCAACATTTTGTGTTTCCGTATTATATGATTTTGTATTTTGTATAATTGATTGATGGAAACTATCCCAGTCAAAATAGACATTTCAATTAACAATAATTAGCATAGAGCTGAAAATTCGTACAGGTCTTAAATACACTATTATAAATGATATCTGAAAAATCCCCACCCCTCCCACGTCTGCTAAAAAAAATATTCAAGGTCAAAAGTCAAAAATATGTCTTTCTGCTTTTTTTCTTCTAAACGGTAAGCGCTATCGCAAAAGTACCTTAAACAAATATCTGCTTTTTTTCTTCTAAACGGTAAGCGCTATCGCAAAAGTACCTTAAACAAATACTGTAGACCATTAAATTTTCTACAATAATAGTTCTTATAGTTTTTTCTTACGAACCACCATTCCTGAGATATGGCAATTGCAAAAGTTGAAAAACTCATACTTTTCATAATATGCACACATTTCCGCACCACCTGTGAGGTAGTGTACTTGGCACGTTTTTTTAACGTGGTTTCCCCTGTAGGCCTAGTCCACGATCTATTGTGCAAAAATTAAAAATTTTAATTTTAAAAAACGGTGCTCTTGGTAATGATTATAGTCGAACGGACTATTATTGTTGATTTTGGGAGAATTTTAATCTGAGTGGTAATCTGCAAATGATACTTCAACAGTAATGACTATTTTACAACCACAGTTTGCGCTACAACCCTTTTTGCAATTGCAAAAAATTGTGTTAAGTAGTTTTTCTGGAGCAGGTGGAAGTAGAGTTTTAATCAGCTCCAAAGTATTATCTATAAATTTCCAACCCCAGTCTTCTAGGTTCAGTTGATTGCCTAGCCACAATTGAACTTGATAGTATACACGATCTAAGTGTTGACCGGCAGAAGCAGATGTTGGAGGAAGACAAGAAAGTTGTACCATTTTATTGTTCCGAGTATTTTTAACAAAACTTAAATATCATTTATACTTGTCTATGAATCTTTTTTTTTTGAGCACCATATATAGCAAGAAGCAAGCGAATTTAACTTGTGATAATGACTTGTGGAGAAGAGTCAATCTTTTTGAATACGTCTGCGCAGACATTACTGTTGAAGTATCATTTGAAGATTACCACTCAGATTAAAATTCTCCCAAAATCAACAATAATCCGTTCGACTATAATCATTACCAAGAGCACCGTTTTTTAAAATTAAAATTTTTAATTTTTACACAATAGATCGTGGACTAGGGGAAACCACGTTAAAAAAACGCGCCAAGTACACTACCTCACAGGTGGTGCGGAAATGTGTGCATACAAAGTGCATATCAGGCGGATGAAACTGCCATTTGAATTTTGGAAACACGGCGGAGTTTCTGCCAGTAGAGGGATAGATGGCGCTGCGTAGAAATTTCATCTAAAGTCCCTAGATATTCATCTAGGGACTTTAATTTCATCATGATTTTATCAAGTCATCCACAGAGTATAGCTTAATTACCAATTCGTTTGATTCTCTGTGGAGTAATTGGAGTAGTTGGAGTAGTTGAAAAATATAAATATTTATATAAAATGTTGATAATTTAACAGTGATGTGCTTTGTTACTCTATGAATAAACATTGATATGAAGTTGCTTTCGCCAGAAACAATTATAATTAAATAATTTAATAAAAATTTAATTTCTAAGTGACCCGGATCAGTTAGATCAGTAAAATAAATTGAAAAATAAACGTCATTCCATATTTGGCAATGTCTGTCAGTTTCTGTGAAGTGGAAGTGAATTGTGATTTGTTTTTATGGGAATATTTTACGGATTTTTGCGAATTTAGAGTATTTTGGACGATAGGATTGTGAAATTTAAAAGCCAAGTAGTTTAATATATAAGATTAATTAATCCCTGTGATAATTTTTATGAAATTTCTCATAATCAAAACAAATTCTTTCAACAAAATGGCTGTCTCAGAAATTTGGAAGATCATTAATTTTAAAGTTTTATTTAAGTGTATTTATATCGAATCAAGAATTTGTATAACATATTAAAAGCTTAATTTTAAAGGTTGTGCAGTAATTTATGTAAGTGTACGCTTTTAGATAAATATTAAATATACAAATTTGCAAAGACAAACAAGTAATTTTAAAAAGATCATTTATTTATTTAAACGAGTATAATCATTAATCATTAGGTTGAAAATATATTTGTATTTACTTATTTATATATTTTCTATACCCTTGTATTATTTATAAGCCCTATATGTCCTGTTTTATTTGAAAAAAAAATGCTTCGAGTCATCGAGAATAGATTTAATAACAATTTTGTCCCTTGGCTTTGTGTATTATATAATGTGAATTGTAAGATGTTTCTATTTGAATAGGTCATTAAAGTTGAGATTAAAGTTATACCAAATTATATTCACGGTAACTATATGTCTTTTATATAATGAATTATTTATTTATAATTTATAACCTTTTTTATAATTACTTATAACTGATTGTATAAATTCTGATAACTTTTATATATACTTGTATAGTGTTGAATGTGTTATATGTAATTTTATTAACAATGTTATAATAAAATAATCAAGTTACAAATTTTTCGTGTTTTATTCTAATTTCAGGGATAATTTCAACCTAATTATTAATTTATTTGTATCAAAATACATTATTTTTATTTTGTAAAATGTTTTGTTACAAATAAGTTCATAATCTAGATTGAAATTACCAAATATAAGTAAAAAACTTATGAACTGGCAGTAAAGGTCCATTTAAAAATATGGCGCGAACTTTTAGTTCTGCCAGTAGCCCGCTTGGATCGCGTCGAGCGCGTGTTTCCAGGCTTTAACATAGGAGTTTTCATTTCTTCCAGTTAGTTATTCTATGGTGCATATTATGAAAAATATGAGTTTTTCAACTTTTGAAATCGCCATATCTCAGGAATGGTGGTTCGTAAGAAAAAAGTATAAGAACCATTATTGTAGAAAATTTAATGGTCTACAATATTTGTTTAAAGTACTTTTGCGATAGCGCTTACCGTTTAGGAGAAAAAAAGCAGAAACACATATTTTTAACTTTTGACCTTGAATATTTTTTTTAGCAGACGTGGGAGGGGTGGGGATTTTTCAGATATCATTTGTAATAGTGTATTTAAGACCTGTACCAATTTTCGGCTCTATGCGAATTATTGTTATTTAACCCCCTTTTTTTTGTTTATTTTGACTGGGGTAAACTTTTTTTTTTAATTTAGAAAGAGATTTTAAAAAAAACAAATAATTTAGCTACAAATTGCTTAAAAGATCATCAAAATCACAGTCCACTAGAACACAATATATAACATTAAATTGCATCAAAATTTTAATGTGCCCGTTTTTCATGCTGATGCCGATGCCGCATTCCGGTGCGGTGTGTACTTTGTACTGCATTTACTTCTTTTAAAGGTATGGCTGCTACCGGTTTGGTTTGGGGCTTTCTACTTGACACGCTTGGAAGGAGGAAAGTGATGCTCTATGGTTACATAATAGAATCTCTAGCCGTGATTGGAGCTGGTTTGTCATCAAATTTCTATCTCTTGTCTGCATTTAAATTTCTAGGGGGGGCCATGTAAGTATATTTTTTTATAGTTTGCCTTTTTCCATCACCAACATCTCATAGCCTTGCTTGCAGAATACTTTTTTCCATCTGTCTCGCACTCTCTCTCTTCCAATATGCATTTTAACTCGGACACTTTCAAGTCTTTCAGCAATTTTTTCGAAGCCATTGTCAGTCTTAATTATTTTTCTATTCTATCATACACACCACACTTGACATCAGTTGTAACGTTTTTCGTCGGTTCCGTGTGGATAGAAAGTCTAATTTATTTAAACACAATTTATTTTACACTAAGTAACAAAACAATAACGATAAAACTACTTAAAGAACAATTTACAACTTATTTACTATTTATCTAAAAGGAATTTATTTTGAATTTAGCGTGGCAACTGTACGCGTCGACCGATCTGTTTGCTTCTGTCTCAGGTCTCTTCTTTGCACGGGCCTCCGGTTATACCCACGGCTAAACAGTTCTCGAATAGTCCATTAGATCATTAGGTGCATAGAGAAGAATTAGAATGTTCTCGTATGTACGCCGCCATTCCAGTGAAACTCGATTGTTCTCGAACGTTCGATGCGTCACTACGGTGTCTCTTCTTTAATGTTCTTAAAAGTAAACAAAATATATTATTTTTATTTACCGTTTCAAGGCCTGTAACGTCTTCGGGAAGCATTTTAGGACATATGTTCATAGGAACTTTTTTGTTTTATTTTATCTGTAGAATCACCCACCGAAATTAGATACAGTATTTTTTGACACCCTGTACATTTAAATTACCCTGCATATCTATGAAAATGTTTCTATAATATGCAATCTCCACATCGAGCATCAAGTAAAAGATGATTTTATTTTAATATCTTTTAATTTATTCCTCTAAACATTTTGATTATTTTATTAAAATTTTATTCAGGATGTAACACAGGACCAATTGATTTTTAGAGCAGGCGGTGCCTACGTAGGTTTAAGCACATACTTGCACGAGTTCCATGGTACTAAATATCGCAGTAAAGTTCAAATGATACTCGCATCTGTATACGCAAGTGGCAGTATAGTCATGCCGTTATTGGCATCGGCGATTTTGCCACTTAAAATTCAGTTTAAATGGTATTTCATTGGTAAGTTTTTTAATGTCAATTAAATAATGATTAAATGCAATATGATCGAAATAAAATAATAGCGTGAGCTATTTGGTGATAGCGTAAGCTATTGGATGGTTATGAAATGAAGATAGGGTTCCCAACCGTCCCGGTTTAACCGGGATTAACCAGGAATCAGAAAGTTTGTCCCGGCGAAAATTTTGCCTTGGCCGGGACCAAAAAAATCACATTTACATATAATATATTTGAATTTCTAATATTTAATGTTTTGTTTCAATTATTTAAAAACTTAAAAATAATTGTCCCGGAATCGCCGATGCTCAAGTTGGGAACCCTAAATGAAGATCGCTGTCATGTAATTGGGAAATGTTATCGATCGTAATTTCCCAACGAACTGACCACCGTTTTTTCGATCATACGGTAGTTATTTCTGCAACTAGTTGGGAAAACTATTTTTTGTAACGAATAGAGTTGTAGTATATATAGAGGTGGGCCAGTCTGCGATTTTTGTGGAGCTGCTACGCTCTGCGACTGCTCCAATAAAAGCACTGTGACAAGTAGCAGCGATTTTTCGGAGCAATTAACCTATAAATTAAAAATGTAGTTTTATAGGTTAATTGCTCCGAAAAATCGCACTCGGTGTCCGGCACCGTTCGTTGCATTTACTAAAAAAGTACAGGACTATAGGTGTGATTATGATAGGCAACATCATCGTTTATCGTTTAGTTTTTATTTATTCATATCGTATGATCGAAAAAAACGGCGTCAGCGATAGCTATGAAATGAAGATCGCTGGCATTTTATATGTAAAATTTATGGGGAATGTTATCGATTGTCATTTCCAAGCCAACTGGACGCAGGTTTTTATTTCGGTCATACGATACTAGTGACGATTTTAACGTCTGTGCAATCGGGGTAAGTCACCGACGGGCCCCAAGCCTCCCGGGCCCTTACGAACAAGATTCGAACTTTTCCGAGCTGCGGGCCCCTAGAGCTCTTAAAATCGCGGCTGTACGGTATTTCTTTTATTTATTTATTTTTTTTATATTGATTTTTCTTTTGTCATACTTTGATAGATGTTGCTATATTTTTTTAGTCTATTAAGAAGAATTTGAGTGTTTCTAAGTACCAAGCACTTTGCTACAAAAATCTTAAAGAGTCTGTTCATTTTCACAGAGTGGTCGCCCATAGTAAAAACTTAATGTTATATTCAATTCAAAGTCGAAACTTATGGTCGAAACCACTGTCAAAAAATTCTTTATTAGTGACCGGTTTTATTATTATTGTATTCTTTATTAGTGACCGCTTAAAAATAGGTATAAATAATAAAACTTATATGAATGTATAAGATCAAATAAAAGATAGGATATACAACAAAACACATACAAAGTTAACTAACAAATAAACATACTAACAAGTTAAAAATTACCTTTTTGAAAAACATCTGTTTTTGATTAATATATAATACATAAATATTCTATTTAGATTCATGAAAGAAAAAGGGAACGCTGCTACGTTTCCTGTTCCTAAACTCCCAACAGCTCCAGTTCACAGAATATATCAATATACTACGCTCCAGTCGACTGCGACCTGCGACGACTGTGACTGGAACAGTCTGACCGGGCGACGGGGATAGGAGCATTTTCAGAATTTACACTATTGCCTGCTATTGCTCCTATTGCTACTCATGAGCGCAGATATCCTAAACTTGCAAACTGCTCCGAAATGTCACTACGATTTTCTTGGAACTGGAGCAGTCACATACTGCGACGTTGGTGGAGCTGTGACAAAGTAGCGGACTGCGATTTCACAACCCACCTCTAGTATATAATCATAAAGCTTTATTCAGAACCTCGCCATTAATGGAATAAATTGGTGGTTTCAATTACACTTTATACATTTTAGTTTACAATCATTCAGTGTCTAAAAACACAATTAAAATTAATAGAATATCCTAGCAACCATCTAGCAACAGCTTGCGGTAATCAGATTTATCCATAGAGAAAACCCAAAAGAAAACCTAATATTTAGCTTATAAAACAAACTTTTTGATTTCTAACCACATTTTTCTCTTGACAGATGATAATCAAAGGCCAAAATGACAGTCCTAGCAAATTTTGAAGTATAATTAGTGGAAAAGTTGAAAGTTTGTTAACTTTTTCCACTCCTACTACTAATTTTTACGTTCTGAATGCTTATATTCAAATTAGAGAAACAAACTTCTACGCTAATTCTTACGGTTTTCTTCTATAGTTCTTCTACGATTTTCTCGCAATTAGGGGAAAAAATGAGTGGTTTCAATTACACTTTATACTTTTTAGTTTATGACATAGACAAACAAATAAAAAGAGACTGACAAATCCCATGGTAAAAAGTGGGACCGCGTTCCCGTAGCGCAACTCAGAATAACAATTTTGAAACCAATTAGCAGGACCATGGCAGGACGTACGTCTTTATTGCTATCTTTCTTTATTATGTGTGCTTTATATGAAAAAGAAAGAGGTAGGTATAAAACGTATCGTAAGACATTATCGCACATTCTGGCTGGCCGAAAATTTAAATTAGCCATTATTAATAGTATCGTATTCTTTGATTCCGAAACTGAAAATGTTCACTTAAACTAATTTATCCCCTATACCACGTAAAGGGAACGTGGTGTAGGGAATAAATCAGTTAAGTGAAAATTTGCAGTTTTTTTCAGAACGAAAGTATACTACTATTATAAGGGAAATTATAAAAAAAGCAATTGTACTGCAAATGTATTGTAGTTCTAATTGTACTGTTTTATAAACATATTTATTTATACATAAAAATAAATAAAATTTTTATAATATAATAACAAAAAATAACAGTGTTTATTCCACCCACCTACCAATTTTAAATGCAGAAGAACTGACTGTTGCAGGAAACGATCGGCCAATTTTTTAAAGGGCATTAAAAATCTAATTTTCTAAAAAACTGTCTAATTGCAATAACAATGTAAATATCCAAGCAAAGAAGACTTTACGAGAATCATGACCCTGACCCATTTTCAAGTCCAGTTTTAATCCTAAAACAAAAGTAAAATAGGTATATTAATAAAGTTTCTGGTTACTATAAACCAGCTATAAACTACCTACCCAAAAAATGAGAAAAATTAATTGTATTAATTTGTTATGTTAAGAGAGGTTCGAAATATTTTTTGACACTACTACTTCTACTTTTTTCTTAATGAGATGATAAATATAACTACTTACTTTTATTTTACCGGGTGTCTTTAACATATCTATCAGAGAAAGGGGGTACCATTGCATGAGAAAATAGATGATACTGGCTCCTGCAGCAAATAAAATAACAAATAGTTTAACCTAAAATTATAAGTAACAAAATATAAATACCTATATGGAACAAAGGAATTTGTTCCCTATCCATATTCATAAGTCAACAAAATGGAGAGTTTAGAAAAAAAGGTAAATCACGAAAAGAAAAATTAACAAACGAATTGTCATGATGTTGTCATCTTGGTTCTCATGATGACGAAAACGAAAGGCGATTGTTCTAATTTCTATTTAGAAATTACATTTTATATGGCTGCTTCTTTCTCTCTTGTTATATTAGAATGAGATAGTGGACCCAATAGACGCAATGCGCAGATCAACATAAATAGAACGAAATTTTGCGTTCTGAGTTGCGCTACGGGAACGTTGTCCCTCTCTTTGCCATTTAATTTGCCAGTCTCTTTTTATTTATTTGTCTATGGTTTATGATCATTCATAATATCTAAAAAATACAATTTAAATTAATAAAATATCCTAGCAACAGCTTGCGATAGTCAGTTGTATCCATAGAGAAAGCATAATAGTTAGTTTATAAAGCAATCAACTTTTGATGTCTCACCTCCAATTATTTCTCTTGACGGATGATAATCAAATGCTAAAATGACATTCCTCGCAAATTTTGAAATATAATTAGTGGAAAAGTTAAAAGTTTGTTAACTTTTTCTACTACTTGAAAATGACTAACACTACTTTTGATGTTCTGAATGCGTACATTGAAATTAAAGGAACAAACTTCTAGGCTAACTGAAACCACTAATTGCGACGTTCTGGAAGCTTTAGTTACACAAAGTATGACAAGTATGTCATTTTTACCCTGCCCTGCGTGATGCATACATGATGCATACAAGATTTATCCTAATTTTGATCAACGTCAATATTAAGTATTTCATTTAACTACGAATGTCGCCTAAAAACATTTTAATACTCTACCGGCAAAAAGGTATTAGTGACTACAAATTGAGCTGCCTCTATATTAGTGTCGGAATCAATTTAATGTAAATAATTAAGGGGTGATGATGAATAAAACGGTTTCCTCCCGGTTTTCTCTTACCGTCTACAAGCTCACCGTAAAGAAGAGATTTCGGTAGACGGTTTTCTTGCATTCTGCATATGTGACCAGCCCATTTTAAGCGGGATTTAGTAATCATGACTTCAGCGCTCTCACAGCTAGCTTTCTCAAGGATTGATAATTTGATTCCATGGTGGATTCGTTGGTGGTACCATTTGATACTTAACAATTGTCTAAGGTGTCTCTGTTGCAACTTGTTTAATGCGTTCATGTGCCGACGATACGGCACCCAGGTTTTGCTTGCATATAACATGGTGGGGATTATTATTGCTCGGTATACTGCAAGTTTCGTTTTGTGCTCAAGTCATGATTGTAGAAAACCATGTCTTTTAATTTCCAGAATGTTCTTGAGGCGCTGCTAATTCTGTGCTGAATTTCAGTGTCGATATTGGTCTTTTCCGAAATCAAACTGCAGAGGTAATTGAATTCCACTACATATTCCAATAGTGCTTCTCCGATTTTTATAACATTGTTATGATTTTCCGGGGGAATACACATGCTTTTAGTTTTATCGATGATCAGCTTAAAACCGAAAGCCTCGTATGCCCAGGTATGTGTTCAGCATTTCTTATAGTTGCTGTAACATTTTTGCTACTAGAGCGCAGTCATCAGCGTATTGAAGTTCTGTGATGAATTTCAGACGTGTTTTTGCCCTGAGTCTTTTTATGTTGAACAGACCGCTGATACCGATACTAATGTAGCTGTTATCTAATGCCCCTTCCTCTTTCCTACCATTTGCTGTCCACTATTAATAAAGAGCGCTGCCATAATAATAATGTTGAATAGAAGAGGCGCTAAGACACATCCCTGCCTAACTCCTGTATTTGTTAGGAAGGGATCGCTCAGTGATCCATGATGGTGACTCTCTAGACTTGTTGTTATGGGGGCTTTTACACTTGGTAAGAAATTTGTTTGGAGCAGATGTACAGGGTGGGTCAAATTCGACGCTTTTAAAGGGAAACACCCTTTTCTATAGGAGATAGACGAAAACTAATATCGGTACCTGGAGCTCAATTTTTATCAAAAACATGGTGGTGAAAACCGCACATCGATATCTGTTACCGTTTATGAGTTACGGGGTGTTTTTCAAAAATGTGCATTTTTAACAAACCGCTGTTACTTTTTTGCTATGGAAGATTTTGTATTTTTATGAAAACATTTCCAAAGCACTTTTTTACGTAGAATTTAATGGTTTAAGTATAATTTTTTTAAAATTAATAATTTACGAGTTATCAACAGAAAAATTTATTTGTTATTTGGGACACCCTGTATATTTTTAATTAAATATAAAGACTTTAAAATTGCCTTTCTAAAAATATAGCACACTTGATATTTTGTTATAGTCGCTTTCGAAATACAGAATTTTTAAAAGTTCACCACTTTTAACTAGTAGGCTTTGTACCCCTTATTGATGATAATACCCCTAAAAAAAAATAGAACTCTCGAAAACATATCTTTCCAGCAGGACAAGACACCGCCTCAGATCGCTGAAGTTATCAGCAAATTTTTGCAGTCAATTTAGAGAATAATTGAATAGCTAACCAAGATCTCAGCCGTTGGCCATCGAGGCCGCCGAGGCCGCAGGACTTAGTGCCTATGGATTTTTATCTTTGCGGAAGAATAGGTATAGGTTCTTATTTTTAAATTGGCCGTATAATCTAGACACGAATTAGAAGGACTTAGCGGTTATGCGGGGTTATCTTTCGCTCCCACCGAGTTAATGAATTCCTCGAGAAATGTTCAAAAACGGTCCCGTCTGTCCATAACAGAGAAGACTGTCGACATGTCGAACATCTGTAGCAAAATCTCATGTCTTGGTTTGCTATTAATTTTTATTGTTATTGATATAATTTAAATGTGTTGATGTTTAAAAACATAGTTTAAATTGTTATAAAATTCTGCATCTCTTATTGCAAATATTATTTTCGTTATAAATGCTGCCCACAGCTAATTTTTTTTGCATTACAGCCGGTGCCGTTCAAAGCCTACTTATCTAAAATGGGCGAATTTTAAAAAAATCTATATCTCGAAGAGCAATCAAGCAAAATATCAAGTATGCTATATTTTTGAAAAGGTAATTTTAAATTCTTTTCAATACATTAAAAATATACAGGATGTCCCATATAAAAATTAAAGTTTTCTGTTGATAATTCTTAAATTATTAATTTTAAAAAAATTATACTTAAACCATTAAATTCTACGTAAAAAGGTGCTTTGGAAATGTTTTCATAAAAATTCAAAATTTTCCATAGAAAAAAAGTTACAACGATTTGTTAAAAATGCACATTTTTGAAAAATACCCCATAACTCCGACACGGTAACAGATATCGATGTGCGGTTTTCATCATCATGTTTTTGATAAAAATTGAGCTCCAGACACCGATATTAGTTTTCATCTATCTCCTATAGAAAAGGGTGTTTCCCTTTAAAAGTATCCATTTTGACCCACCCTGTACATCTCTCTAGGTTGCGACTTTTTTTTCCACTTATATGGAGCAGAGTGAATACATATATGGTATGGACCATATATATGCCCATATATATGCCCTTGACTGGACATGATTGTCCAGTACAGAACCGCAGGAACCCGGAATTTCGCAATACCTTTCCGAATAATCTACTCATTATGACCGAATGTATATGTATAGTTCTTCTGAAGTCAGTTGGAATAGATTGAGACTCTTAATTGCGCCACCGTCTTTGTTGGCGCCTTTGTCAGCGTCTGCATAAACGAATTAAGAGTCCCAGTACTGCAAAATAAAACACTAAATCACCACAATACACCAAAGCACTTTTACTTTTACACTGGGTGTTTCCGCCCGGGAACGAACCGGGGACCTTCCGCGTATCAGGCGGATGTGATAAGGACCCAGTGTAAAAGTAAAAGTGTTTTGGTGTATTGTAGTGATTTAGTGTTTTATTTTGCTGTGTAACACCAAAAGTTCCAACCCCCAACTGTAAGTCCCAGTACTTCCAATTGACTTCGGAAATACTATAACATGTTTTTTTTTCGAAAAAAATGTTACACTCTCAACACTCTATGGCTCCGACTATACGTATAACGCCATGCGAACGCATTTGTCTCAACAAACCTTCTTCTTCTTCTTATCACGCCCTCTCCTGCCGAAGGTTGGCGATCCAAATGGCAATTGTAGCTCTGGAAACTGCAGCCCGGAAGATTTCCGCAGACGAGCGTTCAAACCATCTTCTTAAATCCTTTTAATGAGTTCTGGCGTCTTCCTACTGATCTTTTCCCTTGCACTTTGCTCCTATGAGTCGCATCCTGCGTTTTCATTGCAAACTGTCTCTTAATCCATGAATGTCACTTTTATTTATTAAATATTAATTTAATAATAGACTGAACTTTATCTACGGACTGAACAAAAATGTACAAACTAAAATAATATGAACGAGCATACACAAGTTCAGGCTTCAAAATCTGCGCAGGCCAAACGCATGCAGGGTCTGATTTCATGAACTTCATACGCTCCGATATAAGTTTGCACAGGCGGCCTGGGCGATAAAACTGAGCGTCTGTGACGACCTACACCAACTTTTCACTAACCCTGCTTGTTGCCTTACGGAAATATGCCCTTGACAATTATAATATATTGTTTGTGAATAGTTAGTCATTAGTTAGTTATTCATAATTTATAATAATAATAATATGTTTGTTATTGTAGAACTGCACTCTTGGAATGTGTTGATTCTTGTCACAGCAAGCTTGCCAATCATGTCTGTACTTGCTATAGCATTTCTGCCCGAAACGCCTATTTATTTAATGTCTTCAGGAGATAATGATGGAGCAATGGACATATTCAGGACTATTTACTACATTAACACCGGAAAAAGGAAAGAAAGTTATCCGGTAAGAAATAGTCTATGTTTAAAAGTACAAAAATTTCAAGTATAAACAATACTAAAAATCTGTTTTATCATCATCATTTTCAGCTTATTTTTATTATTTCAGTCAAACTATTTCCTATTATGGTGTAGCTGTCCTGACATATTTAGATACTCTCTTTGTAGTTGGGCCCATTGTTGTCTATTGGCTATGCAGGCCCAAGTTATGCCTGCGAATTTCCTAATATCACAGATAACACATCTAATATCATGGTCCCATCTCAGGTTCGGTCTTCCTCTAGGTCTCTTGGCTCCTTGTGGATACCATTCTGTATCTATCTCTGTTGTCTGTTCTTCTTGCCAGGTGTCCTGTCTATTGCCACTTGAGGGTTTTGATTCTGTGGATGACATTTCTATTAGATACTTGGGTTTTTTGTCGTATCCACGCTATTCTTTTACGGTCTCTTTTCGTTCCATTGAGCGTTGTGCGACCCAGAGTTTCCTTATAATGTCCGTTTTAAGTGTCCATGTTTCGGATGCATAGGTCATAACCGGTAGTACACATTGGTAGAATGTTTTCTTCTTTAGATAAAGTGGCATTCTAGATTTTAAGTATGTCTCTATTATATTATATCTCATTTTAGATATGATTGAGTTTCTTCCATGAATACTCCATGCTAACTTAATTCTTTTGTCGATTAATGAGTGTAATAGAGATCACGACCTGGGCATTAGTTGTCCCAAATATATAAAAATACTTCTTCTACTATATACATTACTTTAGTTTGTGGTAAATTTATTTTGAGACCCACTTTATTCCTGGCTGTGATTAATTCGCTAATTTGTGCTTGTAATTCTTCAGGACTATTAGCAATTAGGACTATGTCATCAGATGGTTAAGATATTCTCCAACTATTTTTAATCCCTTGTTGGTCCAGTCCAGTTGACGGAAGGCTTCTTCTAGTGTTGCTGTAAACAGTTTGGGGAATATCAAGTCTCCCTGTCGGACTCCTTTGCCAGTTGGAAACTCTGGGGTTGTTTTAATATTATTACACTTGCTTTGGCTTCTTTGTATATTTTGGCGAGAGTTCCTATGTGAGGCCTGTCAATACCTTATTTCGCTAGGACTTCTATTATTGCCTTATCAGGCTTATTATTTCATTTTTGTCTGTTATTCTGATATTGCTGTGTCAAGTGCGTCACATCAACGACGTCATACCTATTAACGGCATTTTAGTAAGCTACCGTTTAACGGCAGTTTAAGTACAGCCTATTTGTTATTTAAAAAACGGTTAGTCTTTCGGGAAAACGCTTGGACAAGCATAATTTATTTGTTTTTTTTTACATATTTTGAAATTTTTTAAAAAATCATACAGGGTGTTCCAAAAAGTTGGGTAATTTCTTAACCACGATACTGCTTAACTGCTTGATGTAAAAAGCTTATTTTTGGCAAACGGATTTTTCGAAAGTTAAATTCCAACGAGATGAAACTACCCTTCAAATATTACCAAGTTATATAATAATATCGCCATATTGTTTTTTCTCATGCTGATATAAATGTGAGAAAATTTTATCCAGTTTGTATGTTAATGAAAATTCTTACTTTGCTTTATCATCACCATTACAAATGATTAATTCGAGGCGAACGAAGTCGCTGGACACGCTAGTAGTCTATAAGGAATTGTTGTCTTTTAGAACAAAACTAGAAAAAAAACATCAAGTTCTCTGTGAGTATTTAAGATTTTTCCTGGATTTTTTTTTAAACCTACGGAAAATCATAGCACAAAAATAATCATAGATATACAGAGATTAAATAGATCGTCAAGTTCAGTCGATCTGCGATTGGCCATTTGGACAAAATAGATTCCAAAAATAATATCATACTATATACTTACCCCATTACCCCCGAATGTTGCAATTTTTCTCCACTATTTCTTAAAAAACAAGCCATATCTAATAAAACCGCGAATATTTGCGAAATCGCTATTTTTTTTAAATTTTTTAATTCTCCATCTCACAAAGAAATAATATACAGGGTTCCAAAAAAAGGTTTAAAAAAGCGAAGAAAAACTATTTTACATTTTATAAAGTTCGGAATAGAATTTCGAACACCCTGTATTGAAGACTAGGATATGTGTAGCAAAGTCTGTACAGACCAACTACAGTAAATACTAATATAGTTTTTATTTCAGGACATTTCCTGTATTTTTAATATTTTTTTTAAAAAAGGCTGAAAAGATTTTTTTTAATTTCTTTGTTAATATCTTTGAAACTTCTTCTTCTTCTGGTGCCGTCCGCTTCAGTAGCGTGTTGGCGTTCATATGTTCACTAGACGCGATCTACTCTGAGCACGATATAAAGTGTGCCCTCCTCAGCTCTTCTAAATATCGTGGCAGCATCCGCAATGTTACACCATTCACGGATATTGCGAAGCCATGAATGCTGTTCCGGCCTGGTCCTCTTCTTCCTTCGATTTTTCCCATAAGTATTGTTTTTAGGAGGGTGTACCTAAGACCTTGCAGTATATGACCCGACATATGATAAGTATGATGTCTTCCTTTGTTTCACTATTACTAAGAGTTGCCGGTGCGTATTTGATCTTTCTAAAACCTGTTCATTTGATGTGTGGTAACCCAGGGAATTTTAAGTAATCTTCTTAATATCCACATTTCTAAGGCCTCAATCCTATTGTAAAATTTGACCTTCAGTGAAATTATCAAAACATATTTAATAATATTTTACGATTATGTAAAGTGATCAAAACGGAAGGCAAAAATGCAATAATATACAGGGTGTTCCATTTAAAAAAAATCATGCCTATCCACTCACACTTTTTTGAGCCACTCTGTAGATGTTAAGATATTTTCTTACCTCCTAATACATACTTTAGGTTTGCACTTATAAAAAATGCCTAACTTTCTTATTATTCGAACTATCGACGCATTATTGCCGGACCCTGTATATATGTTACTGTAAATGTCCGAAATACGGTAAAACCTAGGATTTACCAAAAGCAAGTGGTAGTAAAAACTAGTGATGGGATAAACCGATTAATTTCAATAATCGAGTACTCGAGTATCAAGCGATTGCAATAACCGAGCGATCGCTCGAGCGAAATATCGCTCCTATTTAAAAATACGGTTTTTCGTCCGCCGCGTGTTGTAAGTACTCGTTAACGCCAAGCGCCAAGCAGTAAGTTGCGTGCGCAGGGTACAGATTCTTTCGGTGATGAATGGCAAGTAGCAAACGACGAGCGATTCGCTTGATCGCTTGATTTAGTTTATTTCAAAGCATTGTCGATGTAAGTCGTAAAATTTTGTCTCTCAGATACGCAACGGATAAATATATATACGGCGTCGTATAAAATTGCTCCCTGAAATGTATGTAGAAAATTCGCTCGGCTTTTTATCGAGTATGTCACATTAAAATCGAATTTCAATTTATTTCATTCTAGGATCGCATGCTTTCGTCGCTTGGTACTCGTCACTTGCATCGCTCGTTCATAATCGAGCGATGTCGGTTATTTCAATAATCGAGTACTCGAGCGAAATTTCGCTCAAGTGACCTCATCACTAGTAAAAACCAACTAACCCCACCAAATAACCACTTAACCAATGCAATAACACCGCCAAATAACCAAGCTAACCAATGCATTAACACCCTCCAAATAACCGGGCAAACTAATGAATTAACACCCTCAAAATAACCAGGTTAACGTAATTAGTTAATTTTTTTTGGTAAATCCTAGGTTTAGCGCGCTTATCCTAGGTTTTACCGCATTTCGGACATTTACAGTAACATATACATATTTTTTTATGATTTTATAAGAGTTTTTTTTTCTTCAGAGCGCAATTAATCCTGTATATATCGATATAAAAGAAAACCTAGGAATAAAATATACTCTATAATAATCAATAATATATAATAACTTTCAAAATTTATCGTATAAAAATAAATGTGAGAACCACCTACACAGATGCTATAAAAGTAGTAAATTAAAGCATGCTTATTTATTTTTAACACACAATGACATGCAAATATTTTGATTTTTTTTTAGATCCAACAACTGATTGAAGAAATTCAAGAAAACAAAGAACAAATCTTAAAAGAATCTCGATGGCAACGCTTAAAATCAAGCATACAACAAGTAGCACCATTGTATGGCAGCAAACATAGAAACAAGTTAATTTTGGCTTGTGCTATTCAAGGTCTAATACAACTAGTGTAAGGAAAAACAATATAATAAAACAATTTTATACATTTGAAGAGCGATTATGAACGATCTTTATAAATACATGAAAATATTAAAAAATGCAACAATTTAACTTCAATAGTCTTCTTATAGTTATCTATCCGTTTGGTTTCAGCTGCTTAAAACCAATCTGGTTTGTTCTTCAACTAAGTATTTATCTCTTATTAGTATTCAGTATTGTTCAAATAACTCTATTGAACCACATTTTGTACTCTATGGGATTCATTCTTGGGAAGTTTGTCAATTTTCATCTATCCTTTTTATGATTGATGTTCTTGTTTGAAATGGGTAAGGTGCCAATAAGGGACCTAGTACGAGTATATAAACGCTCAACTTGTAGATTGTACTTTAGTTTATAATCATCTGCTGATGATGCTAACATGGTTAGCGAAACGCGCGTCCAGTGTAAAAGTAAAAGTGTTTTGGTGTATTGTGGTGATTTAGTGTTTTTATTTTGCTGTTTAACACCAAAGGTTCCAACCCTCAACTGTAACCGCGACCTTACAGAATAATTGCGTGTTCCCCTTTCTTGAGTTATAACAAGTTATAACTTATAACAAGTTATAACTCATCATACAGTCTCAGGGCATCTCAGTGCATTGAAAGCCAGTATCTGAGACGACTCCACAGCTCTATGTAACCCACATGTTCGGATTTTCACTACATCCGGTTGGGTCTGGGGGGATTTTTTTATAAGCGTCCGGATTTTAATGTTTCATGTCGCAATAATGCAAAATACTATATTTGTTTTAATAAATTTAGTTACTTAAAAAATCGTCGATAACTTTAGCAGTGTAAATTCATTGTTTCACTTCGAAGTTTTAAGTTTTGAAAGTAATAAATGTCTTTTTTAAGCAAGTGTCACAAGAAATGAAGTTTTACGGATCTATTAACGTCCCTAAAGTGTATCTTTTTTGGTCGCTTTTTTACTTTACGGCCGCTTTTGCAAACGAAGTCATTATGAGGGCAGCCTACTAGACACATTTAATTTACTTATTTTAGATATTTCCACGTTCGATATTAAGATTGTCAAATTATAAAAGCGGCCTACTAGACACACTTAATTTGCATGTTTGGATTATTTACCCATAAAACAAAAGAAAAGGTTCCGTTGCTAGGCTATTTTTATCTACAAGCTTTCCGTTTACATCAGTGAAATGAAATTTAAAATAAATAACTAACAAATAATAATAAAAAAAAAGTGCGAATCGGACTCGCGCACGAAGGATTCCGTACCATTCATTATATTCATCAAATATGTAAAAAGTAAAAATAAATATGTAAAAATTAAAAAAAAAACGATTAAAAAAAGTCGCCTTGGCTAGGATTCGAACCTGCCGTACTCCGGCTCCAACGTCATAGCAGCGTAAAGTCCTAACGCTTTAACCACGCGGCCACCGAGGACTTGAAAGATTCTATGTAAAATTCTTACTTAAAAGATAATGTTTAGTGAAAGTATTTATTTTTATTTATAAACATTTATTTATTTCTGTTTTTAGTATTTGTTCTTATAGCGGCAACATAGATACATTATCTGCAAAAATTTCAACTGTCTAGCTATAACGGTTCATAAGATAGACCTTTGTGACGGACGGACGGACGGACGGACAGCGAAGTCTTAGTAATAGGGTTCCCGTTTTTACTCTTTGGGTACGGAACCCTAAAAACAACATTATACGGGATATACTGTGATAAAAATAGTTAAAAAGAAAATATGAAAATATATACTTTTCATTTGGTTAATAAAAATTTGAATTTAATCTTCCAGTTTCTTCTTTATTTAGAAACAAAATTGTAAAAAAAATTGTTACCTGCTTCAAAAGACACTCGCTTAAAAAATCGGCTGTATGATGTTTTTTGCCTCGCCGCAAATTTCAGACACAGCCAAAAGAGATCAACTCTACGGCCTTGGTACACAAATAACTATTTTGCTCTTGTTTTATAAATAAAATAAAAATGATAAGTATCACTAATCAGTAGGTAATGTAAAAATGATAAATCGCTAAAAAATTATGACGTACGGAGTTTGTCCGGATTTTTGGGAAGGCTTGCCCGGGGTGGACAAGTTTTAATCTGGTAACCCTACACAGCTCTCCATCTTCGACATCGGCCGTACCAAAGTTTACGACACAAATGGTTGTCGTCTCGGCGCATTAAGTGATAAGGTGTTCCGGTATTTCCCCATTTTCCCCACAGAATCTGCATTCGCCGTTGGTTCTCAGCTTCAATCTACTGAGGTGTTCGTTGAGGAGACAGTGTGATGCTTCCAAAACCAATAGTCTAAGAGCTAGCAACGTTTTCGAGAAAGTATTTTAAGACGTCTGGCTCTTTGATATATCTTTTATTATGCTCTCTGGAACAGCATGCGGCCCGTCTGGCTGCCGATACCCGTTGCGTTCACTACTGCGCATCCAAAGAAGATCCTCTATTTTTTACTTAGCGCTTTAAATTCTAGTATTGAATAAAAATCGAGCAAGTCTCATTAGCACGGCGCGTAGAGCTCTGTCCTATGAAGCGAAGGTCAGTGGTTCGATACCGACTAGTAGTGCAACTTTTTTATTTTTTTTTTCGTTTATATTCTGATAGTAAAGTATTAAATATTTGCTTTTTTATCACCAAAACGGATAGCGTTTATGGGTTTATGATCCGTAGTGTATATAAGTAGACTTCGAGGTAGAATTTGATACTTTCATTTGTTTTGAAGGATTATTGTGGTAATTAATTATTAGATAGGTTTAGGATGGTCTGGCTGCCGCGCCGGTAGGTTGCGTTCACTACTACGCATCACATGGGTACAGGGTGTCCCATTTTTGACCGTTTTTGGGATTTCTCGTTTATAATTTCATTTTAAAGATTTAAACATAATATATAAAAATTAACATTTTAATGCTTTATAAAGGTAATTTCTGCCTGTCTTTCTTCAAAATATTTTTTTCAGCTGTTGTTTATTATTTTAATAATCATTTTAATAATACTTTTTTTAACAGATTGTTATCTAAAAGCTACACAAGTTTATTTTCAGTTCAGTTTGTTAAGATAACTACGGAAAACAAAATTATCTGGTTAAATTAAATTAAATAAAATAATAACACTTTTTAAACAAGATTGATTAATGTTAATGTGTAGAAAATGCGCAAATCTAGGGATAGAATATTTAGTTATATAAAAAACTAGCAAAGTAATGTGAAAAAAAAAACGCATCATTGTATCTCCACTCATAAACGAGAAATCCCAGATATTCCAAATCCCTAAAAACGCAAGAAAATGAGACACCCTGTACCCATGTGATGCGCAGTAGTGAACGCAAGCCACAGACGCAAGCTACCGGCGCGGTAGCCAGACCATCCTAAACCTGTCTAATAATTAATTATCTACGATAATCCTTCAAAACAAATGAAGGTATCAAATTCTACTTATATACACTACGGATCATAAACCTATAAGCGCCATCCGTTCTGGTGATAAAAAAGCAAATATTTAATGCTTTACTGTCAGAATATAAACGAAAAAAAAAATAAAAAAAGTTGCACCCCAGCCGGTATCGAACCACTGACCTTCGCTTCATAGGCGAAAGCTCTACGCGCCGAGCTAATGGAGATTTGCTCGATTTTTATTCAATATTATAATTTAAAGCGCTAGAATTTAAAGCGCTAAAAAATAGAGGATCTTCTTTGGATGCGCAGTAGTGAACGCAACGGGTATCGGCAGCCAGACGGGCCGCAGGCTGTTCCAGAGAGCATAATAAAAGATATATCAAAGAGCCAGACGTCTTAAAATACTTGTTTTCCCGACGTTGCTAGCTCTCGTACTACAAAGCAGCGACAGGGATAGGAGTATTTAGGCCAAAAACTAAATACTCCGAACCAATGGGTACCTACCCCAGCATCTCTCATGTAGAAATCTAGGCTATCGAAAAATGGTTCCAATTTATCTTAGATAGGAACTATCGAAAACAGGAAATAGCCATCTTATCCGATAGCCAAGCAGCATTACGCGATCACCTCAGTAGTCAATTCGAAGTTGGTCAACAAATGCCTAGAGAAGCTGAAAAAATTAAGCAAAGAAAATAAAGTTCTCCTACTCTGGATGCCTGTTCACCAAGGGATAGAAGGCAATGAAAAACAAACGATCTAGCTAGAAAAGGAGCGAACATTTCACTAACTGGACCAGAACCGTTCTGCTTTCCAAGTGGAAATCAACTTAAAGCGGAACTGAAGAACCTGAAAGACTCCATCCGTAACCTGGAATGGGAATCTAAGACACTCAAAAAAAATTTTCAGAACTTACGACCGAGAAAAATCAAAGATTTTCCTTGGTTTAAGTAAGAACATAGCATCATTCCTTGATTTAAGTAAGAACGGTCATATCCTTAGAGGAGACAGTAATATTACATTCCTAAACTAATTCTACAAGGAAAAGTAGAAGGACTGCGAGGCCCAGAGAGAAAACAACATTCCTGGCTAAGAAACATACGGGATTGGTGTAACACCAGCGACGCAGCCACCATATTTCGAAGAACCGAAAACGGCACTCTACACATTAAATGAAGAGTACAGACAATCGCCAACGTGCGGCTAAGCACAAGGCACAGGAAGAGGAAGAAGTAAGAACAATCTTGTGATTGTCACGGGGTTTCTAACAGATTCTATGGGGAAAATGGGGAAAACACCAGAACACCTCATCACTGAGTGCCATAAACTTTAGTAGGTACGGCTGATGTCGGAGATGAAGCGCTGGCCTCTGTGGAGCCGTCTCAAATACTGACTTTCGTCAAAGTCCTGAGAGTGTTTGATAAGTCATAACTCAAGAAAGGGGAATAGATCTGTAAAAGATCGCGGTGATTAACCCCCCTCCTAAACATTATATTCTATTCTATTTCGGGATCCTGTATAAACTGGAAAAGTAAATATATCGCCATAATCGCTTAAAAAAGAATTCCAAATTTACGTAAAATAACTTCTTCTTTTATTAACAGAATTAATGTTATATATGTGATCATGCCTCAAATATTCCAAGCCACTCACGAATATCAACATTTACATAATGGTACCGACAGCACTTTATGTAACGTTTTGGATTTACTACGATCTCCCAATGTCACTGAAGAAATAGTTGAATGCTCGCCGGTAAGTTAACTAAAACTGATAAACAGTATATTTTAATAATGCCTCCTATATCCCCCATTGACAAGCGGTGTCAATCAAGTCTTAGATCGGTGTTTACAAGTCTAGGAATTAATAGTAATGGCGATCTAGGAAGTCGCAGAGTGAAAGATGTGAAGTATTTATTACATAACTACTTAATCTGACACTATAGTTCAGGCGCTTGGGTAAATAGAGCGAAGGCTCGTGTATACCCCCCATCCCCCCACCGTGGGAATTTGTGAGCTAAATATTTTTTGCTTGGTATTGCTTATTATAAATATATACTTATATATAGTTTAAGGTTTTAGCTGTTTGCCTAATGTCAATTACAGCATAGCCCGGAAAAACGAAGAAAACTGAGGAAAAATGAAAAAAAAAATAACCTTTAAATCTCTTTTAATAAACTAATTTTTTAAACAAGACAAAAACTAAAATTCAGTAAATAATCAGCGTTTATATAATTGATGGCATGGCCCACTCTCAAGCTCTCATTAACATTCCAGAAACCTTTGGTGAGCTTGCCGAGATAATATTAAGTTGCTTTCCAAAATAACATAAGGATAGATTTTGTGACAGATACTTACTTAGATATATCTATTAAAAACATTGAAAGGCTAAGAAGAGGTTGTGGGGAAACATTCCTAATAAAAGGGTCGTCCAAGACCAAAATACCTCGCGATTGGAAAAAAATCCTCAGTAACGGTAAAAACAAAGAACAACTGGTCAACCTTCTATATAATGAATGTAAACAGGACAAATATGCCCACTATTTTCATGGTAAAAACGTTTACTTATCACACAATGATCAGTGCACGTTGTTTACTAGCGAAGACGGTTTAACTGTAAATTGTACTGTACAAGAAGAGCTATGTTCTTCGCAAGAGGAAACGGATACTAAAATTATTTTACATTGCTTTCATGCTTCTCAATCTTTTCAAGATAAATTGCCTATCAGAATTAGGTCACCAGACACACACAGATGTTTTTATGTTACTGTTAAGGTACGCCAACGAAATTGAAAATGTTTTACTGTTTGATACAGGGGTTGGAAACAAATGAAGGGTTATTAATGTCATCACTATTTCTGGATATTTAGGTGCAGCAAAGAGTCATGCTATGTTGAATATGCATGCATTATCAGGATGTGACACCACCAGTTCTTTTGTTCGGCGTGGAAAGTTGTCGGTAAAATCTAAATTAGAAAAATATTCTACATGCGTGCCTATCATTATATCATTAGGAGAATCACTTACACTTACAGAAAGTCTAATGTCAGACCTAGAGGAATTCGTGTGTTAATTGTACACTGATAAAGGATACACAGATATAAATAAGCTACAGTACGATTTGTTCATACAAAAATACTCTCCCACAGTGACATCTGCTTCACCAGATCCACAAGGTGACAAGAGATCCAGTGGGACATGGCTGGAAATTGTAAAATGGACAACTGAAGATTGATTGGATCAAAGGGGATCCGTTGCCGCCCGAACTAACTGATGTTTTGGAAATCTATCATCCAGATGAGTTTGAAGATGGAGATGAACCAGGCCTCTTTAACTTTACTGATATACTATATGAGGATGATGAAGATGAAAAAGAAGGCTATTGATTACAGGTGGAACTTTGGAATTTTCTGATTCGTTTATTTTCATATGCATGCATCCATAATTTAAAATTCTGTGTTTTTTTCATGTTATAAATAAATAAAATTAAGAATTTGGAACCTGATGATTTACTTTTTTAGCTATTTCCACAATAAACACACCATCAAAAACTAAGTGAAAAATTTTACCGTTTTTCTTCGGTTTTCCGTGTTTTTCCGGACTATGCTGTAATTGATATGAGGCAAACAACTAAAATCTTAAATTATATGGCAAAACAAACAAAAAAAATTCCCACACACAAATTCCCACGGGGAGGGGATGGTATTATATTTGTGGCCCATGGTCTAAAAATACTTGCTCTTCTTTCTTTATACAGTGTGTTTCAAAAAACATGTGCCATCTTTTGTGAAGTGATTTGTCACGTAAAAATAAGATTTATTTTTCATATCAAGTCCGATTCTGCTTTGTTTCGTAGCTACAAAGGGTTAAAACTTCATTTTTTTCGATTTATCATAATTTTCTTTCAAGTGCTTTTAGTGATTGGAATGAAATTTTGACGGTAAAATTTGCCCTAAGTGCTACATATTTTAATGCTAAAAATGCAGTATATATACCGTCTACAGGCTATGGGAGTAGAGGTAGGGCTAGCTGACCTAGAGCTGTCGGTATACCAGTGGTGCAACTTTGTTCAAGTTAGCAACCGATCGTTTAGAAGCGATGTCGAATGCGACCTATAGCATGATGGGTACTATGTTTGCAAAACTATTGTTGCTTTATCAAATCGGGTATTCTCGGCAAATGCTGCGAAATATGGTATCACTATCACACTCTTGCACACGTGTGCGACACGGTCTAGGCAGTCGCCTCGCCACAAAGCGAGAAATCAGAATATCGCTACGAATCGATGTTGCTACTGAACATAGTGCCTCAAGCTACAACATTACTTTGCTAACGCTTTGAAACATGAACAAAGTTGCACCCCAGGAAGATTATATGGCAAATTTTTACCTTGGGATTGTAGATTTCAAGTACTCATATAAAGCAAATCTACCTATACCGGGTCGGCATATTTTCCTAAGAGCATGAAATCTAGCGTCAAATTAAATTAATTTTCTCTCGCCGACCTACCAGATCGCCATGCCATACCGATTCACTTCTAGACATGTAAACACCAACCCAAGACTTGGCTTGTCGATGAGGTATAGTCTTTTTTACTCAAAATAAGATGGCTGATAATTTGCTGCACACGGGAATAAAAACCTGCAGCTTTTAAAACGAGAGCTGTAGCTCTATTTTACCGGATACCTTTATACTTTAATACTTAAACAATAAATATTTATTAAGGTAATTTTATATTATTTTTGCGGTTTAATGACTATACACGAGATCAATTTTTATTATTCTGGAAGATAACAAAATAAATCGTTACCCTGTACAGATGTGATGATATATTAAAAAACCAGCTTTCTTAAAATTCTCGTTTTCTCGACGGTGCTAGCTCTTGTACTATTATATTTTTATTACGGTTAGATTAAATTTGACAAAAAAAGTTCAAAACGCCCGTTATCGTACGATCTCTATATCGTATAATCTCCATTGACGAGCTGGAGTAAAAAAATTACGGATGAAAAGTGGCGCGAAAACGCTGTGACCAATCAGAGCGCCGCGCCGCGCCGCGCCGCCGTCGGATCATTATATCAACGGATAACGGATGTATGAAAATCAAGCTTTAGTGCTGACAATATAAATAAATAAATAAATAAATAATAGTTTATTGTCTAACAGGAAATCCCAAATTAAAGACAATTGTGTACACTAAAAAAATCAGAACATTCATAATAAATGAAGCTAACATAAGCACAAATCAACAATAAAAGTACAATGCAAAATATAACAAATCTATATGTAATCTATATGTAACGAACTACAAAAAAAAATATCAAAAAATTCTAGGATTCTTCATTTGCCGGACCAAAACATTCTTGAATCGACGCAGCGAGTCGCCAAATATATCAACAGATGCCAGGCTCTCAACATCATTGAAATCAATACAGGCCCGGTAGAGGGGTGCCTTACCGGCTAAACAAGTCCTGACGTTTGACAGGTAGAACGTGTTTTGATTTCTAGTACGGACGAGCGGAGCTGAAAAGTTCAGCCGAGCTAATAGCGAAGCGCAGTCCGCATGACCATTACAAAGTTTATAAAGGAAAGATAAAGAGTGAAGTCTGAGTTTGCTCAATAGATAAAAGATCAAACCTTTGCAACAGCTGTAAGTGGTTATAACCACGCTCTGGGAAAACACCATCCAGTTTGAACGAGAGATATTTTAGGAATTTACACTGAACATTTTCTAATCTCCGTATATGGACCTGGTGAATTGGTGACCAAATTTGAGAGGCATAATTGATTTTATATATTTATATATTGTATAATGCCGTTAGACATAATGGACTATTGAAACCCTCTGTGGATCTCAGGAGAAATCCTAAAGATTTAAGAGCGCCACGGGATACTTCATCAATATGTATGTTAAAAGTCAGTTTCTTATCCAAGTAAACACCCAAGTCCTTAACATGCTCACAATTTTCCAGGATTACGCTATTTATGGTATAGGGGTGGTCAAGTTCAATACGTTTCAGAGAATAGGACATTTTTTTACATTTAGAGGTGTTTAAAGCAAATTGATTTTCCACGCACCAATTAGAAATAATATCAAGATCCCCTGCAGACGGATGCAGTCATCCTTACACCGGACGACACTAAAAATCTTCAGATCATCTGCAAATAAAAGCGAACAGCTCTTTAATTGGGTCACTATATCGTTTATGTATATTGAAAATATCAGTGGTGCCAAACAGCTGCTCTGCGGTGCACCGCTAGTGGCTATAAAGGGACACGATCTGTGACCATTATATTCAACATATTGCTTGCGTTGATGTACATATGAGGAAATGTGTGACATTTTCTCTGCCATAATCCCATGGTCCATCTTATCAAAGGCCTTCGAGAAGTCTGTGTAAACAGCATCAGCCTTCATCGATAGAGTTATATGTATATTCAAGAAAGCATGTTAAATTGGTGACAGTTGATCACCCTGGAAAAAAGCCATGTTGAGATGGTGTTATCAAATTTCTAATTTTAAAAAATAGTTTATTATGTATACACCTCTCGAAGGCTTTTGCAATGTTGGATAGAATTGAGACCGGACGATAATTCTCAATGATATCTTTGTTGCCCGTTTTAAAAATTCGACAAATCTTGGCTTGCTTCCAAACACTAGGAAATGTTTGTGTTGAGATAGAAAGGTTAAAAAGTCTAGTTAATGGTTTAGCCAGAACAAAAGCGCAATCCCTTATAAAAAAGGAAGGTATTTTATCTGGGCCAGCCGTTTTTCTATTTTTAGTGAACTTTAAGGCCTTCGGCACATCTTCGGTGTCAAATGTCTCCAAAGAAATACTATTACCACATTCATACGAGACATTGCTAGGGCTTGAAACAATAGAAACACCTTGGAAAATATTGGCAAAAGAATTTACAATGTCAGTGGGATTGTCAAGAGGAGTATTATCACTGTTTCTAAGAGTGCCAGGAATACGAGATCTGTTTCTGCTGAATATATTTCCAGAATTCTCTGGGTTCAGCTCGTAGTGAGTCCTGAGCAGCGATTATATACGTTTTATAAGCACTATCAAGTTGTTGCTTAATCACTGCTCTAAGAGTTTTAAAAGCCCCATAGGATTCCGGAGATCGATTGATTTTCCATCTCTTAAAGATTCTAGATTTCTCCTTAATGTTACTGATGATTTCGGATGTATACCATGATGAGTAGAAACACTTTTTGTTATTTTTATACTATTTGTAGAGTGGGATGGATTGGTCAAAGAGTTCATACAGTTTATTATAGAAAGCCTCGACTGCTGCGTTAACGTTCTCCATGCCTTCTAAAGTCCCAGTTAGTGGTAAGGATAAGATTATCAAGGTGCGGGTAGTTGGCTTTACTGAAGTTATAGTTTTTGCCTGAACAGTAGAGGGAAAGTTTGAATGGGGTTTCATCGGCAAATCAGGAATTATTAGTAGTGTTGGATGATAACCATCTCCCTTGACAAATGGAAAAGTGGTAAGGACTTCTGAAGGCAAGTTAGTAATAACTAGGTCAAGAATAGTATTGTTTTGATTTTGAATTCTATTACATTGCTTAAAATCAAAAAAAGCGAGAAAATCGTTTAAAAGCTGAAGTTTTGGACAAGACTCAGCAGGTGAATTTGAAAAATGAATATTGAAATCGCTTAATAAGATTATGTCGCGTCCATAGAGAAATGTTAAGGACTCAAAAACATCAAAAAATACACGAAAATGCTCAACTGATAATATGACAATTATAGATATAATTAATTAAGTGCATATTATATTTAACTCAATAATTCTATTATTTCCAGAATCTAGACAGCAGTTTTACAGTATACCTGAGTGCAATGATAATGGTATCTGTATCAGTTGCAGGTTACGCTTTTGCTGGAACTGTAATAAATTTCACTGGACGGAAAAAGTTCCTATGTAAGTTATTAATATAAATAAATATTACTTATATATTTTTAAGCCAACCCATTGTTATAATTTCTTATGAGCGTAGTAATAAGAGTAGTAAATCTAAGAAACAACAAAATGGTGGTACAAACCACCACACTTACCAAGTTACGTAGGTATTTTTTACATTTATACAACACTTAAATTTCGGAACGCTCTCCATTGAAAACATTTAATTGGATCGTACCCTGGTGAATCGACGAGCCAGAAAGAGTCAAAATCGTCACCTCGGATTCGGCCGTTGCCGAGGTCACTGTGCCATTTTAAAATTAAATTTATTTGGTATTTTTGCAAAAATATTGTGATTTTGTTGTCCATTGGATAGATGAAGGTCCTCTATAGTTTATGATTATTAAGATTTTGTAGGATCTGTAATTTTGGTAAAATTTTCCTTTGCATCCCATTCGTTAGAAAAAACCTTTAGAAGCTTTGCTTTTAGAGTACAGCTTTTTTATGGGAAGTGTCCAACGCTCATTTGTAACGAAATGTTAATTGAGTGTGTGCCTTCACAATGAGATAAATTAATACCTTCGTAAACTATAGAGGTTTATTCAAATGTAAGGTTAATTTATACCGTACATTTCTTTTCAGGGTTTTCACCAAGTTTTTCTTAAGAGTTTTTCTCATAGTTTTTCAAATACCCTTTCGAAGCTGTGTGTATAGATTGCCATTTCATTTTCCTTTGCATAGTCTTCAGTGTATATACTTTTCTGCAAGTCACCGAGGTAATCAGTAGCAGCCTGTTCGGTTACACTTGAGCACTGCACCCCTCCGATAAAAAAGTAGCCGTTTGCAATATAAAGAAAGTTTTGGTTTCAAATTACAGCTTTTTTTAAAAGGTTTTCAATTTTGTTGAAAATATACAACGTTTCTTTCTCCATGCGAAAATATTCAAAAAAATTTGTGAGCTGTGAATTGTGGATTCAACATGAGACCGATTAATTTCATGAACGTGAATAATATTTTTTTGTTTAATATGTATCAGTTTAATATAAACATTATCACTAGCTAATAAAAAGACATAATAGTTCCCCACGACATAGTTCCATGATGCCAAATGACATTCCCGCTTCCTACAAACGGTTGTTAATGGCCACTACCTGCTTCAATGGCGCAGGTTTATATACAGGGTCTTTCAAAACAAATGCGAAAAATTTAGGGGGTGATTCCTTGTTCAAAATAAAGGGTAGTTTGCTTTATAAACGTTGGGTCAAAAGTCAACCATTAGGGAGAAATCGCGTTACAAAGATGGCGGAAAAATAATGTTTTTATTTTTTATCTTGAAAACGAAAAGAGATAGACTAATGAAATTTTATGGAAGCATTACTGTTATGAAAACACACTTTCTGGTAATTTTTTCACTTTTTTAAAATGAATGGAAGGGGTTGAAATAAACTACCCCTATTATTCTTGTTAACAAAATTTAAAGAAAAATCTTATCAAACACATGCAAATACTTTAATTTGGATATTTTAGTTTGTTTAGAAACTTTTTTACCTCTTGTGTTTTTTTGAGAAAACTCACCGATTGGAAATTAAAAAATAAAATGTAAAGCATTACATGTCAGGACAAAAAACATTTTTAGATTAAGAATCTAGTGATAATAACGATAATAATAATCATCTAGATAATAACGTATTGCAGTAGAGTAATGTCAAATAAAATAATATTAGGAACATCCTAAAAGTAACAGCGGCCGACTAGATTTTTTCTAAAAATTACAGCAGCCCACTAGATTCTTTATCAGAAAATGTTTTTGTCCTGACATGTAATGCTTTACATTTTATTTTTTAATTTCAAATCGGTGAGTTTTATCAAAAAAATACAAGAGATAAAAAAGTTTCTAAACAAACTAAACTATCCAAATTAATTTTTTTGCATGTGTTTGATAAGGTTTTTCTTTAAATTTCGTTAACAAGAATGATAGGGGTAGTTTATTTCAACCCCTTCCACTCATTTTAAAAAAGTGAAAAAATTACCAAAAAAAATTGCTAAAAAAAATTACCTAAAAAAAATTACCAAAAAAAAATTGAACAAAGAATCGCCCTTACAGTTGAGGGTTGGAACCTTTGGTGTTACACAGCAAAATAAAATTTGAATGATTTAGTGTTTTTATTTTGAAAGAATCACCCCCTGAAGATTTTCGCATTTGTTTTGAAACACTCTGTAGATAAGACCTTCCGCGAGAGTCGGCCACCGGTAAGCGGAAAGTTAATTTTTGACAATTCATGTCGATTTTTACTAAAAGTCGTCTAGAGATTGACCTCGCCAAAATTATCATCGATTGTCATGTCTTTTCTATGTTTAATGTGTTACCTATTACACTTAAGTATTACAAAAACAAAACTGTTACATTTCAGACGTGATGGGTTTCGCCTCAGCAATAGTTGGCAACTGCATGTATTTTTCCAATAGTGAAACTACAACTCTGATCTTGAGTTCTTTATATTTAGCAACAGCAAACCTTTGTTTCGATACCGTTGTAACTGATATCGTCGTAATATTTCCTACATCTTTAAGGTAAGACATGAAAATAAATTATTTTTCATACTCAGTTCAATATATTTCAGAGCTATGGCACTTTCGATGTCAAACTTGACTGGCAGAGCGTTAACAGTGGTGGGTAGCACGTTATTTCCATTTTTAGTGGAATTAGGCTGTGCTCCTCCATTTGTAACGTATGGATGTCTAATATTAGGTAAGTTAATAACAAAATTACTGGGTGCATTCGTGTTCTGTACCGGTTACCATTTATATTTGCGCTTTTAATATCCGATACTTCTAAAGAATATGTTACATTTTTATAAATTTTAATGGGGAATGATTCATCATCATCATTTTCAACTTATTCAACCATTTCCAGTTATGGTGTAGCCTCCCTCACATACTCTCTTTGTAGTTAAGCCCATTAATGTCTATTGTTAGCTATGCTGGCCCAAGTTATCCCTACTAATTTCCTAATATCATGGTCCCATCTCAGGTTCGGTCTTGTTCTAGGTCTCTTAATTCCTGGTGGGTAGTATATGCTGTAATTTTTGTGGTCCATCTGTTCTTCTTGCCAGGTGTCCTGCCCATTGCCATTTGAGGAATTTGACTCTGTGGATGACATCTATTACCTGGGTCTTTTGCCGCGTATCCACTCTATTCTTCTATTTTTCTTGGTTATTCCCATCATTTCGTTCCATTGAGCGTTGTGCGACCTGCAGTTTCCATATGATGTCAGTTTTAAGTGTCCAGTTAGGTTTCGCTTGAATGAATGAATGGTAATACACATTGGTCGAATGTTTTCTTCTTTAGATAGAGCGGCATTCTAGATTTGAATATCATTGAGTTTCTTCCATAAGTACTCCATGCTAACTTAATTCTTCTGTTGAATTCTGGTAGTAGAGATCCCGAGCTGTGTATTAGTTGTCCCAAATGTATATATTCTTCTACTACTTCCAGTATTGTGTTACATATTAGAATGTCTTTTCTTTTCACTAGTTCGGTGTCATTACTTAAGTTTTTGCTAAATTCATTTTGGGACCCACTTTATTGCTGACTGTATTTAGTTCATTAATTTGTGCTTGTAGTTCAGGACTATTGGCAATTATGACTATGTTATTAGCAAGTCTTAGATGGTTAAGATATTCTCCATTTATTTATAATCCTTTGTTAGTCCAGTCCAGTTGACGGAAGATTTCTTCTAATGTTGCTGTAAACAGCTTTGGGAATATTGCGGATATATCTCTCTTTATTGCCTCCTTGGATTTGGTGTCAATTCCTATTGTGAGGATATAACCATGACTAGTTGATGACTCACCAACTCGAGGTCCTGACATTGGAGTTCTGGCAAACCTAGTGATAGACCGCAAGGGTTAGTCGGTCCACTTTTACAGAGCCCCGCATGTAGAAGTAAGGGAGATGAGAAACAATGGATTGCCCATGGTACCTTAAGGTTAAGACCAGTAAAGGCTGGTCCTCTATCTAGCCACGCATACTTTTGACCAGATCCTGCCACCGTAGCACAGTGGTCTAAATGGAAAAATTACGGGGACACTCAATTTTGTTTTTGAAATAAAGGAAATAATTGTTATGTATTAGGAAAAATGTTATGTAAAGGAAATAATTGTTATGTATAATGTTTTTATGTAAATATTCATTACTTCCTATTTTATATACAGGGTGTTCAATTAGTACGATAAAGTCTAGTATCTCATTTGCTATTTAGAATTTTAAAATAATGCTAATACAAAAGTTATAAGTAATAGTGAATTGCTTCTTGTTAAAATATTTTTAATTATACGGGGTGTGTCAGAAAAGTGCTAAAGACCAAACTTCAGTTTTTTTTAAAGAAAACACCCTATATATTTTTTAAGATTTCAATTTCTGGTACTTTTTCCGGCATTTTGATATAGGGTTGAATGGTTTATACCATGTGTATCAAAAGTCCATGTGTATCAAAAGTTACAGCCATTTTTATTTTATTTTTGAATACCATTTACAGTACCTAAAATATTATTTTGTTTTATTGCGTCAGGATATTACAAGATGGTATTTTGTCATTTTATTTGTTGAATTTACAATTAGTAATATTACAACTTAAAACAATGTTGATAATGATATTGTGTTATTTGGGTATTTTAACTGGAATTTTTACTGGTCTACAAAATGTTATCTTTATCAAGGCTTCCTCTGGAGAAAATGGTCGCATCTCGTTGTTTAACCTTTCTAAATTTTTTATTTTTGCCAACTTTTCTGGACTAGAAATCGTAGCTTTTTGATGGCAAAAGCAACATTTCTCTTTCCTTTTTTTGTATATCCAGTCTGAGTAGCAAACGCAAGTTCAGCAGGACTACATTGAGAAACCAATTCTTGTGTACCTCGTAGTTCTAGTACTAGCAGCACTAAATTCTCTTGAGTTCTTTCGCGAAGGCGTTTTTGCATGTTGCTGAAAGGTGCTTTGGCACTTAGATTTATAAACATATTCGTTAAGCCAAATTACATGTTTCTTTAAAAAGTCTTTCTTATTTCGGTAGCACCTTTTCCAACGTAAAGCAATTTGAGTTGAAAACCATGTTGGTTAGGTCATCATCGTCAGCAGTAGGGATGCGTTGTTTGACAAAGTCGGCCATCTTTTTTCTCACAACTAAAGAACTAGCACTTCCCATCCAGCCATTTTCATTCAAAAGCTCAAATAAGTGTTTTCGACTCACGCCCGAAACTGTACATAATAGGAAAAAAATTAAAAATTTCACAAGACTGCACCTATCTGCAGCTCAGTATATTGTTACACGATAGGTAGATATACTAGCTTTAAAATAAATTGAGTTTGACGGTGAAGAAAAGGATCGTTTTTTTTTCTGAGCCTTCCATTCTTTAATAAAATTGTAAATACTTCTTTGACAACTAATTATATCAAAATTCTTGTTTCAAAATAAGTAACTAAACTTACCTAACAAATGAGCAGACATGTCTGAATTAAAAAACAAACCACGATATTCTAATCTCAACACAACTATACCAAAACGAACTTCAAGATCCTCGAGAACAAATACTATATAAATGAACATTTATGTTTTTGTTTACTTTGTCCTCAATTTTATCGGATTCCGATCCACCAAATACAAAACTCTGATATACAAGTAAGATGGGACTTTATTCTATTTATAAAATTATACATACTATCAATCTTCAGTGAAGAAAAACTTGTCACCTAATGTCCCCGTAATTTTTACATGTGAACCACTGTGCGTAGGCTTTAAGTTTTGGCAAGGTTGTCTCTTCTTGGTCCGGAAGGTTAAGCCAAGAATCCCCCAACCCCCCTATGGAGTGGCCGAACTTTGCTGACGCTTAGAGAAAAATCCTTGCAGGTCGTACTTCCTGACCGCCATCAAAAGAGCAATAAATAAGAACAAATGTAACAATCTGGAAATTTGTTATATTTTACCCATATCGGATGAGCACCCACGAGGTTTCATAAAAGCCAGCGGGCGTCCCTGAGAGAGATTGGTATAGAAGCATTTTTTAGTATTTGTAGAACGTCAATTTGACATTGATTAATGTCATCAGCTTAAATAAAAAATGACACAATTCTCAAAAGACTGAAAAATCCCGCCTTCATTTTTTTCATAACTTGGATAACTATGATACACCAAATTTCATTTAAAAATATGAATCGTCAAATAGTTCGATTGCAATTGGTATAATCAAATATAATTTGGTGTGATTTGTAGACATATCTTTAAAAAGTATCGGAAATCCCCAATGAAACACGGATAGTAAAATTTTTTATTGTTAAAATATTTATAATATTCTGCATACCAACTAAAATATGTATAATATGTAAGGTATAGTATACCATAATAACACAGTTGGAGCTGTAACATTTGGTGTTGTAATAGTAAAATCAAACACTAATTCTTCACAATACACCAAAACACTTCACTTTAAACACTGACCGCAGGTTTCGCTAAACATATTAGCACCATCAACAGATGATTAAAACTAAAAATAAAATCAACTCAATAAACCCAATGGTTTTAATCCTCTGGTGATGACGATGACATGGTTAGCGAAACGCACATCCAGTGTTAAAAGTAAATTGTTTTGGTATATTGTGGTAAATTAGTGCCTTATTTTGCTATTACACCACACCATTAAAAAAATAGTGCATTAGAGTTGGATTTAAAATGATATATTACATGACATTTCTTATAACTTCATGCCGATTCTTTCAATCAAACAGTGCTTCGTAAAACTTAATACAGTTTTGATGTTCGCAATTATGTTCAAGACATAAGTCAACTGATATTCTCATAATCTGATATTTTCAAAAACCTACAAGGTTGCAAGTCATAATGTATGTTATATTAGCGAAATACTACACTTATATTCTCTTATATTTTTGGTTTATTTTCAGCTGCAATCTTACTGAGCATTCTCGTTCCTAGCACTGACAACATGGACATAAAATAATGAAAATAAAGATTTTACAACAACCCAATATACAGTTTTTATTTGAAAATACCTAACTCACAGAGCTTTTTTATTAATTACTCGATATATACTTATTTAGAGAAAATTAAAAGATATTTCTCTCTCGCTCGTGAATAAAATCTTCGGCCTAAAAAGCTAAGAAATTTCGCCAAATAAACTGGCAATAACTTAAAATATCTTACAGACTTTCTTACTAAGTATTTATTTAGATGTCATCGAAAAAATGTGCCGAAGTAAAGGCAACAACTATTGCATTACGATGCAGCAAATAAATTAATCGCAACAATTTCCGATGCCCGTGATCAACTTTGAGTGACAAGCGATGACGACAGCGCTGCCAGATTGTGGTGGATTTATGAGATCAATCTTAATGTAAAATCGGGAAACAATATATTTATTATATAATTTTTTAAAGATTTTTACATTTTATTTTTAATTTAATAATTAATATTTTAGTAATTACTTTATTTATTACAGTAGTCACTAACACTCACAGTAGCAATACTTAAATTTAAGGCAGCAATTACTCGCTACAAATCAAAATAAGTAGAAAACTTTGAGAGTGGTATAATGTGCTTACCAATCAAACTTACTTCTCTGACTGTAGTCAAGGGTAATAAAGGACCTTTTTTGTCACGTACTCGTTCAAAATAGTTTATCAGGCAAGCTACAGGCTGTTTGCTTCGATTTTTTAAATGTTTCGGCATATTTTCCACACACAATTATACAAATACAAAAACTCGAAAATTTAGTTCCTAAAAAACTGTTTGTATTTAAAAGTACAATTAAAAAAAAGACTACGAAAATCGGCAAAAAACGAGAATTACTCCCAAAGATTCAACAACACAATATTATACAAAATAATTACTGACATGATAATTGTTAAATAATAAACGACAACGTTGCTTAGCGCGACGCAATGTGACCAACATGGCAATAATAAAAACTAATTTTTGCAGCTTTAATCTAAATAAAATATCTGTTACAATCTGCTCTATAAAGTAAAATGAAGTGCTGTTCGATTCGATCTTAAATTATACAATAAATTTAAACATTTTTGGTCAAAATTTCATTTAGTCAGGTTTATAGGCTTTAGTGTCAATTTCGATATGATTGATGACGTGCATCGGAAAATGTTTTGCCTTTACCATACAATATAACGTCCGGTATAATTTAACAATTTTAGCAATAGGTTATTAAAAGCATAAATTTAACGCCCAACGTGATGATAGATATTCAGAGGTTTAGGATCTCAAAAAGACCCCAAAATTTCATAAGACTAAAAAATATAGTGGCAAATGGTCTAAGCAGTGACAGAGACCAATAATTTGATACTGAAATGAAAAAGCTCTGAAAAATACAACCCAATTTAGCTTGTCTCTTTTTCTTCAAACTTTTTTTAATTTTCATAACTTGTCTAACTATGATACACCAAATTTTGTTTTAAAATATGAATCGTCGAACTAGTAAACAATTAAGCTTAGAGATGTATTATTGTTATTTATAGTTAATAAAACTAAATTATATCTACCTGCTTTTCGGTATTGCCTTTCAGTATTATTCTTCGTTACATAATGAATTACCACATAATACAGCTCGTCAAATATAGGATGTGAGAAAAAATACACTAATATAGAAAAAAATGTCTATTATAAAATGTATAACATCTGTAACGTACAAAATATAATCGTTTAACCATTGTTTTACAATCTCTTTACCTTCAACGCTATTAAAATTTAATAGGAATTAATAGTACAAACTATATACACGTTAAAAACGTTCATTGACTAGGAATACACAGAAACGTAATTGTTTGCTTTGTCTCGAAGACATTTCACCGCGATATACAAGAAATTTAATATTTCATGTTTCAAAAAACATTGCTTGCTTTAACAGATAGAAAATAGTAGTCAAAATATCTCTAACTGCCAGAATTTATACAAAAAAAAATGGCAATGAAAATATAAACAATACATATATATATATTAAAAATCTTAATAAAATACCTTAAATATTTCATTCATCTGCTCTTTCGTAGTTAGGTTATGTTGTTTTTAATAAAAGTAAATACAAATTTAATCATACAGATCTAACAAACATCTTAACATACCTTTATTTTGAAAAAATACAATTATTAACTAGTGGGAACCTAACCTAATGAAAGTTTCTCTATTTTATAAACGTTAACTGCAGAATCATCGGATTTATGTTTTGGCCTAAAACAAAGAATAACGTCATTTTACGTTGTACAAAAATTATGTAATTAACTACCTTAAATACAATTAGCATGCAAGTGAAGCACTTCGATAGGGCATTCAATGAGAAAATTATAATTTGTTTAGAATAGCGGATGGAAAGCACCAATCACAAAACTTCAACAACACTTAACACGTCCAACAAATGTAGCCAAAAATATTGAAAAAAACACAGCCACTTTAGTATTATGGGCAATCTTTAATTATATGACTTGATGATATGAATTACATATATGGACTTGATTATTATCAGTATGGATTTACCAACCTAAACTCATCGACTAGTAACATTAGTAACATTTTCATATAGGGATATCTATATGATAAGCACGACCAAGAAAACTATTTACCTGAAAGTAAAAGTATTGATCGGGTAGTGGGTAGGTAAACAGCCTTATTACGATCCCCGTTTGGGTACAACCTACTTCAAGGATGCGATCCTACCCACACGACCCTGGATTTGCTCTCACGCTCTATTTTTTGAGAGAAATCATGTCCTAACCTTCAATCCCACCAAATACCAAATCCTTTTCCTCCTCCCATCCCATTCTCTATTGATTGCCTCCCCAGGTGGCGAGTAGGGCAAAGCCTTACAGACATGGGTGGTACCGGAGAAATTAAATATCAGGGGCGGACCAAAACTGACCTAGACAATGGCAGCTAGTTGTCAGAGTACGGAATACAAGCAGAGATTACAAGGATTGGAATGGTTGTATTCAGAAAACATACGGCGTGGTGGCCGTCACAGAAACGGCTAATGTATAGCGGTGTAGAAGGCAAGGGAAAACTACTGCACTAACCTTTCCCAAGAACAATCATCATGACAAACACAGAAATTAAAACTGCCCCAAGTTCCTTGCGTCCCTTAGATGGGACAGAGGTGCTAAGAAAAGGGGGTGGAAAAATAAAAATTCTTTCAAAATTGGGAACATGGAATGTTCGAACACTTTATGTAGCAGGAAGATTGAGGAATTTATTGTTAGAAATCATGAAGAATGGACATACAAATGATTGTACGACAAAATGGGAAACCAGGTTGTCTGATGCAACCACTTTTTATTCAGAAGACTATGTAGTATACACATCGGGAACTCGAGATAGATCTCATAAAAATGGAGTGGCTATAATAACATACAAATATTATTTAATTTCGATTTTCTGAAATAACACGAGATCTGTTAGAGATATCAGAAAACGGTTTGCGGCAGTCAATTCTACATAAAATGAACTCAGTAAGTAAATTTCGTAACTCTGTACGAAATTTTGTGCCATTTTCGGACAGAGTAATGCTACTACAGCTAGCGATGAAAGCTGTAAATATTAACATTATACAGGACTTTGGTTCACGACTTCTTTGTTTTCAGTAGCAAAAATAAATTTAATCACCTGCCACTGAATATAAGACAAATAAATCCGCATAGGGCATTTAAAGAGGCTGTCAGGTCTTTGCTGGTTGCGAGGGCATACTATGACATGGAAAGGTTTTTTGTTGAATTCTATTTTAATTGTTATATATTTCTCTTTTTTTTAATTTTAATGTCTCTTAACTAATAAACGTATTTGTAAGATAGTTGTGTTATTTTATTTTTTGATCTCTATTAATATTGTTTGTGTATTTTTTTATTATTATTATTTTGTCTAAGTTTAGTATACAGATTGGTCCGAACTGTATTCCGGAAACTTCGGCAGCATATTCTGCAGATAAAAATAAGTAAAAAAGTTCGCATAAATATATGTCCTAAAATGCTTAGTTTCGGAGATACAGGGTGTAGAAGTTTTATTTTTATTTCGATTTTTTCCAAATAATTTATGAAGTAACGTCATATATTGGATGAAAATTGGTGTCTGGGAGTTTTTTGATGTGAGAATCCTGATTTTGATGTCAATATGACTCCTACTTGTAGAGGGCGCCATCTACATATTTTTTAACTGATTTGAAGAATAATAACTTTTCGCACGTACCTGTATAAAACTATTGAGTGGAAAAATATATATTTACGACGTTTTTTACGTAAAAAAGGTCCCTTGGTAAAAATCGCTACGAGTAATGGTTCTCCAGATATTTGGAATCTAAATTAGCAATACCTGTCATCATTGACATAAATTAAACATGTTGACTAAATAGTTATTAGACTGAGATCATAAATTTGAAATGTTTTTGTGCCAAAAATTCAACAGAAACTGTTTTGTCATCATTATTTTGCCGAAAAATTTATGATTAATTTAAAAAAAAATAAAAATTTCCCAAATTTATTATTTGAGTAAAGTAACTATCTACCCAAAGTGTTTATTTTTCGTCAATAATGACATGTATTGACTATTTCCATTTTAAATATCTTGAGAACGGTTGCTCGTAGCTATTTTTACCAAGAGACATTTTTTACGTAGAAAATCACGGAAATGTATATTTTTTTACTCGGTAGTTTTATACAGGTACGGACAATAAGTTATTACTCTTCAAAACAGTTAAAACACATGTAAGTGGCGCCCCCTACAAATAGGAGTCATATTGACATTAGAATCAAATTTCTCATGTCAAAAAACTCCCAGTCACCAATTTTCATACAAATATTGACGTTACTTCAGAAATTATTTGGAAAAAATCGAAATAAAAATGAAACTTCTACACCCTGTATCTCCAAAACTAAGCATTCTAGAACATACATTTATACGAACTTTTTTACTTATTTTTATCTGCAGAATATGCTGCCGAAGTTTCCGGAATACAGTTCGGACCACCCTGTATATTGTATGTTTTATTTTTATTTATTGTTTTGCAACAGCTTTGTAAACAAGAGGAATCTTGTAACAATAAAGCAATAATTGATGGATGATTGACTGATAAAAGGGACCCACATGATAGGACTATAGTGGAGCTGTATTGATATTGTAAATATTTTAGAATGGTCTACCGAGACCAAGGTGCAAAAAAATCAAGATTTAAAAAAAAAGATTTTTTTTAAATTTTAATCAGTTTTTTTTCTATTTTAATCGTTTTTTTTTTTCATTTTAACCAATTTTCCATTTAAAGTCCTATCATAATTGGTTAAATCTTCTAACTCTGCCCGATATCGATAATATTAACATTTCTACGGCGTTTTTTCCACATGGGTCACCGATATATTTTATTCTGTAAACTTTGCCCCTTTTTCTGCCAAAAAATAGCCCGCTTAGATAAAACGGATTTTTTTTTTAAAATAGCCATGACTGTCTTAAGTCCAGAATAAAATTAGTACTATCTAATGTTCAAAGTGCAAAGAACATATTGCAGAACAAAATGTCGGTAGAAATTTGGAATGAACTAGAAGATAAATTAGGCAAGACAGAGAAGTTAAGGTTAGGAAGTTAACTTGATCAACATTAAGCTATTTCAAAAAAGATATAAAACAGCCTTGACACTAGCATATTTATATATTATATATTATAACCTAACATCATAAGAAACTAGATCTGCACTAGAGTTTGCGAATGAAATGTATTTGAATAACGGATTTCTGACACTTTAGAATTTCAAAATAAATCTCCGCCATTTAGAAATGTTTCTAATCTGTTTTATATTAACGAAATAGCTTCAAAAATCGGTCCAACATTTTAATAAATGAATAAATATAATATATAATAAATAAATGAAATTAAGTAGGTATATGTGTGATGTTATATGTTATATTTTTTACAATTATTTTTCGATTTATTAAAGTATTTAAACGTTACAACAGCAAGTGTAACTTTTTTATAAAAACAGTGTTTTTTTGTAACTGAAGAATAGATATAGAGTATATTTGTTATAGGAATACTTATAGCTTTATAAGAAAAGTTTATAACTCTTGAGTTATTTTTTTATTTATCTTAAGTTTTTAAACAAGTCGATTCTTGATTTAAATCCATGATTAAAATAAAAAAATCCGTTGATTTAAATCATTGCACCCTGACCGAGACCAACCAAAAAATTACCGAAAACACACGATTCCATAAAACTAAAAGTATTAGAATTATTTTTTTATTATTTTTCTTGCAGTGCAGTGGCGAAATACCCATAAAGGATTTTTTTGGAGAGATGAATCCGCCACATAGGTATAGACATTTATTAGAATTATTGATTTACACAACAAAAAGATACTGTTAAAATTGTTAAGATTTATATTTCTTGCATCTTAGCGTTACCGCTTACGCCCTACCACTAATCAAAATGACTATATTTTTTCTGAAAGCTCAATTTATATGAAAAAAAAAACAGTGCTTAAAACATATTTCAGAATAAGGGTACAATGAGTACTATAAATAATTAAATATATTTAAACAAACTTCATTCATAAAAAAGTAATAAGAAATGAACTTCGCGCACTGGAAATGATGAAATAACACACCAAATATTTACATACCACTAACTATATTTCTCATTCGACACTGTACTAGCACCAGATATATCCCTAATATTTTTCCCGATAACCGAATCCTGATTAATAAAATCATTTTTTAAGGCTAACCTGTTGAAGAAAACCTTTCCATATTCGAACGAGGAGATCATGATTGCGCAGGCGGGTGCCACTTTTATCAATCTCGGCACTAAGCCGGCGTAGAGTCCCCGAATTCCATTGCTCCTATAAATATCCATAAAAATTGTGGATGTCGTCCTAGATTTCTTTACTCCATCAGCACCTAATAAAAGAAATTGATTCAGTATGTTCCAGCAGGCTAAGGTTGGAAATATTATAGCAGAATTCAGTTTTCTAAAATTTGTTTAGAAAGTTTATCAAACTCTGTGCGATTTGTATCTGTAAAACATTATGGAATACCCAGATATACAGGGTATCCCAATATTCCATACACATTAAACTATTTTCTGTTTTTGAAATCAAAACAAGCTCATTAGTAACTACCTCTCTACCGGGTGCGTCTCAAAAGTGGCTCACCCCTATAACTTTTTTATTTTTTCTGTTAAAAAAACGAGACTTGGTAGGTTGGTATATGACATAAATTAGGATTGATTGACGGTATTCAATTCTTTTCGGTCACTTTCTGTTTCAACGGAAATGACTACAACTTTTGATTTTTAAATGGCACTCACGGTATTTTTTTAATTTATTTCATAGAAAATAACAGTCTTAATAGAATGACATATCATACGTCAACTTTTGACATTTTCGCATATGGTTTATTTAAAATTATAACTTGCAGTTAGTAACAAAAATTTGACTCGAAATACCAAGTGTGTGGTATGTATGTGTATCAAATGATTCGTAACAAAATGCTTTTTCCAAATATGCTAATGAGCCACCCTCGTTCCATTTTGTCATAATCACTTCATGAAATAAACTAACCTAATAACCTAACTAAACTAACTAACCTAACCGACGCTTCATGAAATGACAATACACGGGTTTAAATAGCGAGTATACGAAAATTTTATTATATAATTATTTTAAAAGTGTTAGGAAGTATAACTTCTGAAAATTTTAATATCTTCAGAACGTCTAACTTGTATTATAATTTATTATTCCCGCTAAAATAACTTTTTAGATGAGTTGTAGAGAAACTCCGGTAGTAAAAAGTTAGAAACTACGATAGCCAGCATAGTTTTAATCCCGGTTTTGCTAGTGGGGTCATAATAGAAATGTTCACAATAAAATTAAAACGTGCCTACTTCTCATAAAATCATTCATTATGACATTAAAACTCAGTATGCAAAGTTTCATAACATTCCGTAAAAGGCTTATGCCTCAAAAATCCGTGCGAAGTAATCGTTTGAATCCGCTAAACGCTCACCTATTGGCCTGACATCACTGCTTCGATCGGTATTTCCGCGCGAGTAAAGCTTGATTTTCATGCATCCGTTGTCCGACGATACGATGATACGATATTAATTTTATTGGTTAAATTTAAAAACTTCGGTTGGTTAGAAACGGTTAACCAATCGAAGCCTTTAAATACAACCAATGAAATTAATATCATATCAACGTATCGTCGGACAACGGATGCATGAAAATCAAGCTTAAACGGTGCTGTCTGCACGCTGTGGAATTTCTAACAGAACAAGCTAGAATACGACAAATCGCGTTGTGCTCGGATGTAGTTTGTATATTAAATTTGGTTTATTGTGACTAATATTTGGAGTTTATTACTAGTTTAAAAACAAAGCTACTTAGTGAGATGGAGGACGGGTTTACTTGAAAGCGATAACAAACAACACTGGGTTTTTAACAATACAAAATTATTGAGTTTTTGAGCTGTCAGAGATCCGTATTTAGGAGGAGGGGGCCAAAATTTAAATTTTAATTGTCATATTAAAATGAAAATTTGAATGCGTATACAGAAGCTAAGACAATGTAAAATTATCGTATTGTTGATCTGATACAGGGCCGTATTAAGGAGAAGAAGCCAAATGTTAAATTTTAATTGTATTGACCTGAAAATTCGCACACGTATACATGGTAGGTCCAGTTTAAAACGAGGTACCTACATGGGGAATAATGGGGATCTTGAAGACCGTTAAAGTTACAAGATCGGTTAAATAGAAAAAAAGTTGCGTTTTTGTGTGTCCACTGGTTGAAACTAAAACCTCTTCTTACTACATTTAAAGTGTCTCTGTTAGGTAGACACCTATAATAAAATTTTATAACGATACCTTTAACTGTTAAAAAACTATTAAAGAATATCTTTCATTTTTCAAAAACTTTAACACCCTGTATATTGCGTAACAGGCATTTCCGACCCATAGTGTGCTATATCAAAATTAATATTTCGACGTGCCCTATCATTTCCCAAAGGCATCACCGACTTACAGGAATCACCCTGTATATGGTTGAAAACATTTTTAATAAGGATTTTGAAAACGCCAAATTTAAATATGGCGCTCACAAGAAAAATAAAAGCTGAACTCGGCCGTGCGCAACATAGAAGGCCTAGGTTTTTTTGATATCATTTTTGAAATTGCCATGTTGTCTTGCGCATATATTGAAATTTTGATTACCTTAGCTCCAATAATAAAGAAAATATGGTGATTTTTCGAAAATGTTCATTTTTTCTTTTTCACCTCGTATCTACGTAACGGTATGGATTTAAAATAAAATAGACATAGATTATTTCTGGGCAACTTTTAACCGACTTTGTATCTTCAACGGTTTCCAAGAGAGAGATCCCCATGTACCTCATTTTAAATTGGACACCCTATAGGACCCATGTTAAGCGAAAAATTTACAAGTGAAAAAATTGATAAAAAAAACTTTTTAAAACTTTAGAAAATAAGAATTAAAAGCAAGGTGCGCAAAGTAACGATTTAAACTTCTGTGGATTATTTTTTGAAGTATCAAGAACAAACCACCACTTATTTGAACTTATTTTACTTATCCAAAACACCAAAACAATGAAAATAAACAATACACCTTCGCGAACGTCTGCAAAAACAATGCGGCAAGTGCACGATCGTACGGACGCCATCGATCGAAGCAGTGACGTCAAAAACAGGTAGCCTCGAGCCGGGTACGTTTTCTAGCCTTGCTGCAATTCTCAATTTTGTTTTGCGTTGATGTGAGAAAATTATAGTTTTTAAGAAAAATTTTGAGTGCCATGTTTTTTTACTCATATGTAGCTATCGAAATTCATTGAAATTAGAAATTAGTGAACATGTCTATTGGGGCTATTTCGGCTATAACATTTTTTTTAAAGATACATAATTATAATTTTAGAAGATGTTCATAAAACATTTAATCACTGGTCGATTAAAAAAAATATACCATTAATATTGCAAATTATATTTTACCCTCTCATAGTATACGTATGTCTATTTTGATTTTTTGATTATGTAACGAGCACTTTCCATTTATGCTTTTGATCAAATCGGTGTGGGAGCTATAAAATGTTGTTTCGGGAGAGTTGAATATCCGGGAAAGTAGAGTTATTGAATGTTATTGCATCCAACGACGCCCTAATTATGCTCTCCTGTACGCGTTAACATTTTTTTGGCAGTTTTATAACATTTGAAATTGTCACAACACAACACGACGCCTAGTTCGATTTTTTTAACTTATTTTTACTATCCGAAACAGCGTTACATCACACAAACTTCGTACCTGAGTGTTTTATAGTCTGAATAACTGCACTAGCAAAAACTAAAATACTTAATTATGATAAAACCACGATTTCAATAATATTTTAATGCGATCAACATGACAGCAGCGTGAAATACATACTGATAATTTCTGATTTCTGCCGTTGAAGCGCTGAGAACCGTTGTTCCAATTTGAATGAGATTTGAGGTGCCTATATTTTGCTAAGCGCTTTAACATTTGATATGAAAATCAAGAAAACGTACGGTAAGGGTGAATTGATGATTTTTTTTATCTTGTAAAATGGCCCTTCTAGTATTTACTATATTTTTTGCACTTGTAAAAAACGCCACATAAATAATACGCCTGAATAATACTGCGTGTATCTGCAAAACCATTAAAAATTTTGAAATACTTTAAATACAAAAAATGTTCATATTTTAACTCTCCATCTGATAAAAGAATAATATCGGGGTATTCCATTTAAAAAATCAAAGAAAAATTATTTTATATTTACGAAAGTTTGACGTAAATTTTGAACACCCTATATGATTCAAGATTACGAAATGTATAGCAAAGTAAGTATGGACCATGCGAATTTTCGCTCGAGTTATCCCATCACTACTACAGATGCCCGATGCACTATTGCCAGACAACAGCAGGCAAGTCAAAAGGCAGGCAGTCTAAAAAGAGGAAAGAACCAGGCCAGTCATTGTTGAGTTCGTACCGTATTTCAATGGTATTTTATCTAATAAAAAATACCTTTGCCAAGTTCTAACAAATATCTATTACGCAATTTTTCCTTGTACTCAAAAGTCCCTGTACTCTATTTTTGTAACTTTTTGAACATTAAATCGTGCTTATCACTGTTTGAAGACAAATTGCCTTACTTGCCTTTTTCCCCTGACCCTTCAATTGTATCTAATAAGCTTATTTTGATTCCAAAAATACGTACTAGTTCTACGTCCACGGAATATTGAAACACCCCGTACATACGACTCAATTTATGAGGCATTAGTATTGTTGCGGACCCGTGCCGTGTGAACTCAGTTGCCTCGTTCGCCTTGTTCGCCTTGCGTACCCTGCTACGCCCGAGAATGTTATGGAGCGCTTAACAGTACAGGCTTTTATTGATGGTTTACGTGACAACGAGACAAGGCAAACACTTCTTTTAGCTCATCCAACGCATTTGGGAGATGCCCTAGCACGTGCCCTGGAATTTGAGGCCGCGAAAGAATGCTCTAGGTCTCTAGGATTTGTACAGGCTGTTGAGGAGAGTTCCGACGATTCCAAAGTGGAAAGGATTGTGCGGAAAGTACTGGATCAGTATATGAGCAAGAAGGGGGACCGATTCGCTGTTGGAATTGCGGACAGATGGGAAATCGTTGCAAAGAAGAGAAAGAAGTGAAAGTCTTAAGGACGACTGTGGTTGGTGATAGTTGGCAAACCGAAGATCTTGCAAATGACCAAATCAGTGATCCAGAGTTGGGCTTGGTGATTAACTGGAAAAACGCGGACCAGAGACCAACGTGGGAGGAAGTTTGCAGATATTCGCCGAACGTGTAGTCGTACTGGTCCCAGTGGAATTCATTGGTAATAGGTAACGGATAACTTCGCCGTGTGATTGAGAGACCAGAGGGACAAGAAGAGAGAAGGCAGATTCATTCCAAAGAAGAGGGTCCCGGAAGTCTTGGCGGAAGTTCACAATGGAACCAGCGGTGGACATCTTGGTGTTAGCAAGACCCTTGGCAAGCTGCGTGAACGGTTCTATTGGATGAACTGCACAGAAGACGTGAGGGCCTGGTGTAAGAAATGCGACGTTTCCGCTGCTATCAATGGACCACAAAAGCGTGGTAAAGCTCCAATGCGCCAGTACAATGTAGGCAGTCCTTTCGAACGAATAGCTATCGACGTGGCTGGTCCTTTCCCGGAGACGAACGATGGCAACAAATACATTGTGGTAGTAATGAATTACTTCAGCAAATGGGTCGAGGCCTACGCGTTGCCAAATCAAGAAGCGTCCACCATTGCTGATGCTCTTGTTAAGGAATGGATCTGCAGGTTTGGTATTCCCATGGAGCTGCATTCAGATCAGGGAAGAAACTTTGAGTCCAATCCAAAGCGTCTGTGAGGTCCTTAACATCCGCAAGACCAGGATGACTGCTCTGCATCCACAATCCGATGGGATGGTTGAACGCATGAACAGAACCATCAACCGTTATTTGGCCAAAGTAGTCTCTGACCACCAAAGAGACTGGGACAAATTTCTTCAGCTGTTCCTCTTGGCCTACCGTTCATCCATCCAAGAATCTACAGGGCAAACTCCAGCCAGCATCGTTATGGGACGGGAAGTGCGCCTACCTTGTGACCTGAAGTTTGGTTGCCGACCGGGAGAAGATGTCGCCGGAGAAGATTATGTCCATAGACTACGCCAAAGGATGGACGACATCCATCAGCGAGTCCGCCTAAATATTCAAAGCGCTAGTGACCGAATGAAGGAACACTACGAGATTCAAGCTGAACATGGAGGGTACCAACCAGGGAATTTGGTGTGACTGTACAACCCGCAGAGACGTCGTGCATTATCTCCGAAGCTACAATCCTCGTGGGAAGGCCCATACGAAGTCATGGATAGGATTAATGACGTCGTATACCGTATCAGAAAATTGCCAAAAGGAAAACCGAGGATAGTTCATTTCAACCGTTTGAGCCCCTACCTAGGCGAAATAGAAGATCGTGCTGGGACCGTGAGAACCTGCAGCTTTGATCCCCCTGATTCGGAGATATCCTTTGACGATTTCATGGCCCGATACAACAGCAGTGAGAAGGCTCGCTATGGTGTAACCAAAGAAGAACAACGAGACCTATTTTCCGTGAATCCTGATTATTCGCTCGCTCACTGTGTGGCCCGAGATTTGCGGATGTCCAGAGGAATCGCTGCGACGTTCAATGAGAAGTTTGGGCGTGTCGGAGAACTACGCCGACAGGATCCAGAGGTTGGAAGCATCTTGAGGCTAACCGATAATGCACATGGTCAAGCAAGACACATCTTCTACCTGGTCACCAAGGAATGGTCCCTAAGTAAGCCGACATATCTCAATCTATGGAAGACCCTTATTGAACTGAGAGAAGCCCTGCTAAACAACAACATTACACGATTAGCCATTCCGAAGCTGGCGTGTGGACTCGATGGTTTGAGTTGGCGTACAATCCGGAACATGATTGAAGTCTTATTTAGATTTACGGGAATCGAGATCCTCGTTTGCTGCTATAACCCAAAGCTGAGATCGGGCGAGAAAACTGTAGACTGCTTTTTCTACCAGACTTCTCAATGTACCAGGGGCCAGCTTTGAAAATACCTTCATTCACCGTGTACATCTCGGGACGAGCATGTACCTAAGAAGGGGGCAGTGTTGCGGACCCGCGCCGTGTGAACTCAGCCTTAGGCCTGGCCACTCGCCTATGACTCATACGCCCAGCGATGCCGACGTTCTAAGAACGAATAAGAATTGACTAGACAAATCTGGATTGTCTGTTTCTCGCCTATATAAGCAGACGCCGGGGCCTAAGGAGGACAGAGATAAATAACCGATCGACGCGTACAGTTACAATCGCCGCGGTAATTCAAAATAAATTTCTGTTAGATAAATAATTAGATAAATTGTAAATAGGTTATAAATAGTTCTTTAAGTCTTTTAATCGTTATTGTTTTTGTTAATTAGTGTTAAATAAATTGTCTTTAAATAAATTGTGACTTTCTATCCAAACGGAACCGACGAAAAACGTAACAGTATATACTATAAGAAAGACTACTTTATATAATCTGAAATCCATATGTGCTATGATATTTATGAAGATATTAAAACACAGTTTTATAAACTTTTAAACAAATCTTAGAACCTTGATCTTACTATACCGTTAAATAAACTTGTACCGAATTCTATTTGTTGATGGGTTTTGACTACATCAAAAGGAACTGTTATTGTTGCTGCAACCTAAAAAATAAATTTTTATAAATTTCAAGTCCGACTTTATCAGTAGTTATACGAGCAAATAATAGAAAGCAATATATAGAAAGATGTCAATATGATATATAGCAATAATAAAGCAGTATGGTATAGCTAGATGTTCATGTCGTATTTTTTTACTTCAGTAAAAAAAACTTCCAGATCTAGGTACAGGGTGTTTCAAAAAACTTGTGCCATCTCTCGTGGGGAGATTCCTCACGTAAAAATAAGATTTATTTTTCATATCAACATGGGTCCGTTTTGTTTCGTAGCTACAGGGTGTTAAAATCTTATTATTTTTTCGATTTGTTATAATTTTCTTCTAAACGCTAAAATCAAATGAAATTTTGGGGGTAAAAGTTACAATAAATGCGACATATTTTAAAGCTAAAAAAGTGTTGACGTATTCACCAGGGACGTGCATATGGGTTATCATGGAATATGTTTCTAAAAAAGCATGTACGCCACTGACTTTTTTTTCTCTTGTTAGCAAAATAGTATAAGCAATTTAATGCCGAATAAAAGTTGTCTCTTGATATATTGTCGATTTCGGCCTCCGCAATTTTATTAATTTGCCTTGATCCAATTCTAATAGCAACCTTTAAAAAAATTTAATACCTATCATTAACTTAGGAAAGTTTTAAATAAGTACTCATTGATTACTCATCAAAAAATATGAAAAAAGTTCCTATAAACATGGGTATGGAAATGCATAATTTTAGAGGATAAAAGTTCCTATAAACATGGGTATGGAAATGCATAATTTTAGAGTTACAAGATGTTAATTTTTTTTTAAATTAGATTTTTTGGAATTATTTTAAATACCATTATTTTATATCTGAAATTGCATTAAAGGGCCTACATAATTTTAATATCAAAAGAAAAAAGTCAGTGGCGCACATGTTTTTTTTTAATATTCCAGTAATAACCCATATGCACGTCCCTGATGAATTTATGGACACTTTTTTAACATTAAAATGTGTAGCACTTATAGTAACTTTTACCCTCAAAATTTAATTTGAATCACTAAAAGTACTTGGAAAAAAATTATAAGAAATAGAAAGATTATTAAGATTTTAACACCCTGTAGCTACGAAACAAAGCAGAATCGGACCAATGTTGATATGAAAAATAAATCTTATTTTTACCTGAGGAATCTCCCCACGAGAGATGGCCCATGTTTTTAGAAACACCCTGTACATTTATTATTATACAGGGTGGTTCGAATTTAAAACTGGACGCGCGTATCCATGTCCATAACCATGTTAGCATCATCAGCATATTCTGTCAAACTAGCCTCCAGTTTTAAAAGTAAAGTGTTTTGGTGTATTGTGGTAAATTAGCGTTTTATTTTGCTGTTGTAACACCAAATGTTTCAACCCCCAACTTTAATAAGTGATAGTAGTTGTAGTAGTTTTTGCACACGTGCAGACTAGATCAAAGGAAAACTTAAATCTAATCTTTTTTTATGAAATCTATTTACGATTCGAGTAAAAATTAAAACATTTTTATATGATATACTCTATTTATGGTTATTATATACCTGTTATACTTTTTCCATGGTAAAAAGTAAAAAAAAACATATTTATAGTTTCTTTTTGATCTACCCTGTATAATTTTATTTCTTCCTCTACAATGTGTGAAAACTATACTAATTACCCTACTGTAATTATCATTAATATTTTAAATGTATTATTTAATATTAGAACATTTAATAAACTCATGAATAGGAACATTATTTCACACTTTATTTCCACTGGATGCACGTTTCGCTAACCATGTTAGCATCATCAGCAAATGATTAAAACTATTAATAATCAAAAAATTTTAATCATCTCACATGGTTAGCGAAACGCGCGTCCAGTGCAAAAGTAGAGTGTTTTGGGGTATTGTGGTAAATTAGTGTTTTATTTTGCAGAATAATGGGGGTTACAATTTAAAAAAAAACTTACAACTTTATCGTTACTTTTTTCGGCGACACCCTGTATAGAACAAAATATTTTTAGGATATGCATCTTTATAAACTTTTTTTCATATGCAGAAAGTCTGCATCAAATAAGATTTGTATATATTATTAAAAGCAAGTAACGCAGTCAGTTTTTGCTTGTCTAAAAACCAAGTTTTGTACAAACTATATTGTATGCCATATATTTTTGAATATTAGATGATTAAAGCAAATAGAGACAACATTGCCATCAAGCACAAAAGTTAAATATAACATAATACACTGGCATTTTGTATCTAAAATTATATAGAGAATGTCAACAATCTTATTTCCAAGCCAACTGAACACTTTTTTTTTTCGATTATAAGGTATATTAAATTCTACTTACACTACCAGAAATTGCTCCCGCAACGAAAGTTTGCCCAAATGAAGGGTGATCAGAACCATACAAAGATTTAATTGATTCATAACTCATCCAATATATAGCAGAAAAGGGTACATCCCTCAAAAATGTAGGATATATACCCTTCCATAGACCCTTCACACCATCTTGCTTCAACAATATTTTTAAAGCATCTCTAAGCTCTAAAAACATTTAAGTAGTTAAGGATATTGCTTCTTCAAATAATGCCATGGAAATTTTACCAAAGTAACTCAGTTTTTCTGATTGCATTTTCGTTCTAATTAATTCTAAAGGATTTACAAGGGTTACTGAAAGGACCCTTGCTGTGCCCCCAGATACTAATGGAATCCAATAAGGTTGTTTCTTTGTATCATTTCCTAAATTTCTCCTATTATATATTGATTTTAACTTTAGTCTAAGTTGTTCATATGTTACAAAATAACAAATTGTAGCTGGTACGGATAAAACTAATGTCGGACTAAGACCGCTCCAAAGAGATGTAACACCTTCGTTTCTAGCAATTTTAATAAAAGCGTCCTAAAAACATAAAAAGAAATATACAACACAAGCCTAGTATTTTATTGTGAAACATACTACTGTTCCATTAAAATGACTTGGTCTCTTGTACCATGGATTTTTGGGATCGGATGGTTGACAACTACAAAGATGATCCATTAGACCATTACAATACAAGAAACATTTGTCAACCACTTGTGTTTGAGCCTGCATTCTAATTTTAACTACATCTAAAGGTGTCACTGCAAATTAACCATTTACAACAACAATGTTCGACAGAAAAACATTTGTGACTTACTAAATATTGATGTTATCAAAGCTCCTGTACAGGAGGCTGCAGCTTGTTGTAACAGCGTGATACGGTATTTTGGATCATCGTAATCTATTTTGATTGGCTCCTTTAACTTAGCCATGGGACTAGTTTTTATTAATTTTTAAAACAATTTAGAAACACCGGTCTGATTGCCCGATAAAAAATTGATTTGAAACTAAAAGTTGGGTTAGGTTTTATAACATAAAACGTCAAACATGTGGATTTTTTTCTCATAGAGATGGGCGGAAAACATCGATATTACTCATTTTTACCATATTTTTTATGTATATCTGTCTAGAACATTGGACACATAATAGAAAATTTTTTTATTTTTTAAGTTTTAACAAATTATTATTTACGGTGAAGATCTCTCATAACTAAAACAAAATTCTTCAATTCTGACTATTTTATTTTGTTTGTTAGGATGCAGACATTTTTGCCAAGAAAAAAAATTCTGAGAATTTTAAATTAAGAGAAAATCATACGTGTGGTGTAATATAATTGGACACACTGACACATTTTATATAATTTTCTTTTAATGATCCTTAGTCATTAGGGTCATTAGTATCAAGTATCATTTATTACTTACTTGTTTACTTTTGCCATCAACCATCCATCAATACAACAATATAAACTGATGCAAACTGATGTTAAATATAATTAATTATTAGATAAATCTGCCTTTTTTAACTGTTTTTTAATATTTAGATAAGGCATTACTCTACTTATATTGCATCCGAAATTGTCTTTGGGGTCATGTTGTTTCTGAAATAAAAATATTGATTGAATTGTATTTTATTAACTAATTTCTTCACGCCTCTTTGATATTTTAGAAGTACCTATATGTATAGACCACAAGAAATTTTCCTTGATGACTGAAAACAGATAGGCTCTCAGGGGTGGATGGGCCATATGGAAAAACGGGAAAATTTCCGGTGGGCCGCGGCCGGTGGGAAGATGGGCCAGTCCCGATCAGAGATCAGAAAAAGATTGGCTTAGCAAAAATTTAATGGCTAATCTAACTAAATTTACGTTAGATTCTTAGTGTCTGCCTAACTAACTAATCAATTTGCATCAATATAATCGTCAGTTGCTTTTAAACATAAACATCAATTTGTAAAATAGTAACTATTGTTTAATTTTAATAAACATCTGTAGTTTGTTGTTCCGTTTGAATTATTTTATTATACAAAGTGAGTCTATAAGTGCACCTTATTTTTGTGCTGCTTTGTGCAAATATTTTCAAGGCTGGTAGATCTCAATAAAAGAAACATAATATTCTCTTTACCGTGTTTCAAATAAGTCCAAAATAAAGGAGTTATTTAAAATTTGGGAATTTAAAAAAAAATTATTTATTTTTAAAAAAAAATTGAGAGCTTTCGAAATTTTTCTGTATTTGCATTTCTTTTAGTCCCGTAATATTAACCCATGATTAAGACCGAAGATTAAGAAACTATACCGTGGGAAAATCGGTGAACAAGAACATCTAAAAAGTTTTCTAGAATATACAAGAAAATTTAAAAGAAAATGCACAATTTTCAACATCTTTTTTTGGCAAAAAACTTCATAGACGTGTTCCTGGGGTCGAAATATACCACCCCTGAAAATATTTGCACTTTTTTAAGACTCACCCTGTATAGTTTTACCAATATTATTTTATTAATAACTAATAAAGACTCAATGACCAATCAGGTTGGTTAGCGTGGTTATTTGAAGTGTGTTAATTCATTTATGTTTGTCAAAAACTCTAACGTGATTGGTCGGGCTTAATAGTTGCCTGCTAGGGCTAGACACAAGTTATTTTTCGAGTTCATCTGAGTAAAAAAGTAGTCAAATTTGACGCAAACTCCGCGGTTGACAGAGAATGAGAACATAAAGATGGCTATCTCTATGCTTGGTTTGAATTGGGGACGAACTAAAAGCCAAGTCTAAATTGTTGTGAGTGTCCTAAATTGTGTCCTGTGTGTCTAAAATTAGTGAGACAGCAGAGAAGAGTTAAATAAGGTTTAAATTAGATCTACCTCAGAACACATTTAGATCCTCTGCCTAGGTATTCCCTAGGTTTTCTTTGTTTGAGTCATGGTATTATCATACAAAGATGCCAAATATAAAAACGAGAAAAAGTTACGTGTTGAGAATTATACCAAAAATTAAAACACGTGTACACGACGAGGCTGTTGCTGTACCAGAAAAGAGAGAATTTCTTTCTACATTGTGTAAGAAAGTATATACCTGAAAAGCTAAAAATAATGTATTTCACTGAGGACTGGGCCAGCTGGACTGAATGAATCAAGAAGTCTTAAAGTTTCTCAAAATCGTAGCCTATTCAAGATCGAATTAATAATGGAATAACAGTAGAACCCTGTGAAACTGAGCCATTTTGCAGTAAAAATTCAGATGACCGATCCTTTGATATTGATCTTTATAAAATTTTGATCATTTTTTTTTAAACAAGAAGGCAAAAGAGTTTTTTTTACCCGAGCAAAAATCACCCCCCCCCCTTACTTATATATTAATAAATAAAATATATTTCTTCGTTATAGGCATTTTGTTTTTGTGGATTTAGGCCGGTTGCCTGTTATTCCCGGGCCGGTTTCCACTTCCCCATCCACCCCTGTAAGGCTCTTTGTAAAATTTGCTTCTTTTGTTTAAAATGCCAATGTTTTATAATATGCCTAGTCTTTTTGCAAAATGCTGAATTATTCGATAAGCCTACGACATTTAAGGATCTTTTGTTTATTCTAGAATGCCGTGTGGTCGAAAAAATCCAATTAACTTAGAAATGACGATCAATGACATTCTCCATATAATTTTGCATATAAAATGACAGCGATCTTGGTTTCATAACCATCGCTGACGCCGTTTTTTTCTCGATCATAACTCGATCATATCATAAAAAGCTCCTGTAAACTATTTTATTAAAATTATAAACTGTTTGAAAACTAAATCTCCTACAATGTTATAACCCAAATTAACAATTTTTGTCGACTTTATATTAAAATATATACATAAATTTAGTATTTAAATTTAAAAATTCATCGCTGAAGATAGTCCTTTTATTCATAGAGGCGTACCACTATCGATATTTGTTTTAATATGACCATCTCTAATTTATCTTGTGACCATTTTTGTGAGAAAATTTCAAAATTTGTTTCAAAATATTTTGTAATATTTATTACACAATTCTCATTAAAAATTGTCACATCATTTGCTATTAAGAAGCATCTGATACTAAGTCGCTTTGTACTTTTCTTTTGAAACATTTTTGATTTTAAATTTACGGAATACGTAGGTACCGATTTAATATTTAATCTCCATTCAATAATACATTTTTTGAGCATCATATGATATATTTGTTAAATAAAATTGTAGATCCTGTTTAAATTTTATATATTTCCAATAACAGGGTGGGGATATTTAATAAATTTAAAATCTGCCAATCTCTCAAGATTCTTAATTAAAATGTAGGCAACTAAGAAAACACAAGTCATTTAATTTTGAATTTATCAATAAAAAACAGCTGAGAATGAAAATAAAAATGTCAGGTGGTTGTCAAGTTCTAAAATTAATTACATTTTTGCATTTTAGTACAAATTTATAGTTAAATTTTAACTGTTATAGTTTAATACGTTTGAAATGATAAATGTAGTTAAGCAAATTCTCAATAATATTTATTAGAATAATTTAATTATAAATAGTGCATAAACCTTTCAAATATGGAAAATCAGGAACAAAGGGTCTCCAGAAATAATGGAAATATAATTAAAAAATCGGTAAACATTATTCTATAATACAGGGCATACATTTTATAGTTTATTTTTAGGATACTCTTTTAAGCCATATAGAAATAACTGTTTCTGAATCAGAAAAACGCAATAATGGTGCTCTTAATCTTAGAGATTATTATACAGTATATTTAATTGAAACTAAGTAATTCTAGGTATTTTATGGTGTTATTTTTTAAAATAATTACAAGAATGCTTTTAGACTCATCGATTTAAATTATCAACACAAAATTGCCAAGCTAGCAACTGTCTGGAGGAGATATACTGAATTTGAACAACTGAGGGATTACTTGGAGCTTACTTATCCCTACATTGTTTTGCCACCTTTGCCAGAAAAACGTGTTATGTTTGGATGGCAAAAAATATCAAATGATACTTTTGATCCAAATTTCATAGATCGTAGAAGGGCTGGGCTTGAAAATTTCCTATTGCGAATAGCGTCCCATCCTGTAGTCAATTGGGATAGACATTTTATTGAGTTTTTGCAAGAAGAAGATGGCTGGAAGGAGTCTTTAAAATCAAATGGTATTTAGTAAAATAAGTTCCTTAGATTAAATTGTTAACTGTTTTTATTATAGGGTATTTACAATTAATGGAGAATAAATTGAAAAACTTAAGTGTTGCCATAAGATTAAAACATCCAGATCCTCAGTTTGAGTCTTATAAAGATTATAGCTATAAACTGCATACAAACTTAAATAATTTACTAAAGGCTAGATGTAAAGTTGCTGAAAGACAATATGCAGTTCACAAGCTTCACGCTAATTATGGTCGAGTGTTTAGTGAATGGAGTGCTAGTGAAAAAGAGATGGGTGATAATTTACAAAAGATTGGACACTACTTAGATTCTCTAGCATCTTGTATTGATGCAGCTTTAGAAGACGAAGAGTTACTTGCTGACCAGCTAAAAGAATACCTGTTTTTTTCTAATTCTTTGCAGTCAGTTTGTAAAAGTCGAGAAATTTTACAGTTAGAACTAGAAGATGCTGAAGAAAATATTGCTAATAAAAATATTGAGCGTACCAAAGTTCAGCAAGGGAAGTCTGGATTAATGTCTCGATTGTTTGGAGCTGTAGATACTGACGAGGTGCGGGAATTGAAAATGAACATGTTAGAACAACAAATTCAAGAAGGAGCTGTAGCTGTTAATAACAATAAGGAGTGCTTGAGGTAAGCAAAGTAAATTTTAATAAACAGTTGCATTCTTTATATGTACAGGGTGTCCCACTAAGAATAGCTCTCGGCTGTATCTCGGAAAGTATTAGCCGTAGAGCCTGCGGAAAAAAATATTTATAACTAAAGAGGCCATGAGAATGATGCGAGAGAGAAAATGCAATCAAAAGATAAAAAACGCTGCTGAGACTGTCAAATACTATGGTATTCTGGTGCATTATCGATTTTTTGAATAAAATAATATTTTTTATCTTATTTTTTAATAAAATGGTCATAATCAAGAGGGCTAGTGATACCGTGTTAGAAAAATAAGGTAATTAAGGGCTTATATTTTACTTTTTATTATAATTTTGCTAATAACTTTGGTTTGAAAAAAGATGTCAAGATGCGATTTTCGCTGACTTGTTAAGGTTTTATTGCTCTCTAGTATCAGCTAAAATTACATATACTATCGCATTTAATTTTTTTGAAAAAACGCTCAATGTTTGTTAAATTGTAAAACAGCGCCTCCTAGCGTCTACATTCAAAAGCTTATTATTATTGTTTATACGCATAATATAGAGTAAAAAACGCTCTTTTAAACAAGCTCTCATTTCTTGGATTCCGAGCATCCAGTCCGGAGTTATTAATATTTAAATAAAAATAGATCTAACCTTCCCCCACCACTTTATTTTAGCAGATATCGAAAAATGCTTCTAACAAAAAAGGTCCAAAATTTACTGAAGATTATGAAGCTGTTATTTATATTACATCGTATCTAGGCAAAATTTCTTAAAAATTCCATTAGGTATGTTATTTTCCATAGAAGTTACGCCCTCTAGCGGCCGTCCTACAAACTTGAAAATAATTTCCAGCAATTTCTCAAGGTCTCTTTAGTTATAAATATTTTTTTCCGCAAGCTCTACGACTAATACTTTCCGAGATACAGCCGAGTGCTATTCTTAGTAGGGTTGCCACCTTTTTGACAAAAGAAAACCGGCCTTCAAAAAAAAACTAAAAATTATGGTCAACCATGTCAACATAGCATTCATATCCGAAAATTTTTTGGGTGCTACGCCCCTTTTTTGAGTCTTTTTAGTCTTTTATTTAACAGTATTACTTTTTTAAACGTACCTAAATGCAAAAAAAATAAAACCAGGAAGTAAAACTTTATTGCCAAAATCAATCGGATTATCGGATAAATATATCTACTTGTTTCTAAATTTTAAAATGATATTTTGAATTTGATTTTGCAGCTTTAATAAGTTCTTCTTTGTTACTTAATGATAAATAAAATTCTGAACAGGAAAGCTGAATGTTAGAACGAATACAAGGAACAGATAAAAATTAAAATTGGAACTTCCACTGTCTTCAAAAAGATACACCATTTTTCCACAACAGAAATATCTTGATGAGTAAAGGAAGGAGATGCCTCTTCAAGCAAAGATAACTCTTCGTAAAAACTATCGCCGTCGGTGTCTTGAAGTTCTATACCATTGTGCGACGCAATTAAGATTATTTCATTCAGTTTTGGAACGCGGTCTTTTAAATTTAATGATTTAAATAGTAAAAAACGTTGTTTCCATAATCAAACCATTTTTCTAAGTATTCTGTTGTGGTTGTCTGGTTATTGATATGAATGATATGCTAAGAAAACCGGCTTTTTTTGGATGTTAACCGGCACCCGGCCTTGTTAATGGAAAACCGGCCAGGTGGCAACCCTAATTCTTAGTGGGACACCCTGTACATATTTTTTCTTTCTTAAGCATTTTTTGCTTAGAGCTCAAACGCACTGAAGACCAGGTCGCAGCGACCAGCATTTGATTTAATGGTATTACTGGTCCCAGCAACCAAGCTGCGACCACTTGATTTGTTTTTTATCATTTGATTTAATGGCCTAGCCGTTGGCTGGTCGCTGCGACCTGGTCATCAGTGCGTTTGAGCTCTTATACAGGGTGTGTCATAAAATATGCAAAAGTGAGAAAATGAATTATAACTTAAACATTTAGCGACCCAGTGTTTATGCTTTAAGCAAGTAAAAGCGTTAAGTGTGAGTACATAATTATTAAAATTCTCTCTTCCCTCGTATATTTTATTTTTGTAACTTTAAAATTAAAGGCTTAATAAAAAAAGAGAAAACTTTAATTTTTTACTTATTATATCCCCTTGTATTGAGGCCACGCTACGCCACTGCAAATAGGTCAATATAAATTATGTTAGGATCGCAGAGTACCGTATACCGAGTGATAAAAAAACGCCCTCGAGTTTTTTTTACAAAAGTGTCGCTCGAAAATCACTTTGTGTCTACTACAATGAGTATCATAGATCGCGTCTCTAAGGTAACTTGACGCCGTTTTTGAAGTGAAATTACGCGCGATGGAAGTAAAAATGCAAGACCGCGACACACGAGCTAGCGTTACGCGAAGCGTCACGCCAAGGTTGCCAATCATCACAAAAATGGTATCGATCTTGGAGCGTCGTAACTCGTGCCCTATGTGAGTTTGGTTTGGAGGCTGAAACTCGGAATGTAGACGAGGCTCGAAGATTTAAATGAAATTTGGTATGTCGATAAATTGGACCAAAGCCAACTTGACCGTGTACGACACGCAACACGTGTCACTGTGACAGTTAAGCCCGGACCCCATTAGCCAACACGCCACGCCACGCGTTGCCATGCTACCCCACGTCATGAAGATCAGTGCGTATGTTTTTCCATTTAATTACATGTATTGCGTACACACTAGGCAACACGCCACGCCATCCGACGCTATAACATGCTATGACACGTGTGATGGTCGATTCGTCGCGTCGGTCCCAGATCTCACCGACGACGTGTGTTACGGCGTGTTGTTCCCCGCTTGCCTTTCTAGTCCCGCAGCTATTTTCTAAGGGTTATTTTCGAATGCAATAGAAAACAAAAATGTCTTTTTGAGTGTTCAATCAGTAAGAATACAAATTCTATTATTAATTTTAAAATTTAATAAATGTAATAATCAAATATTAAGGAAAGAAGGTTAATGGAGATTGTGAAGTTCAGGTATTAAGTATTATGATTATAATCTAATATCGGTATGGGTATCGATACTTCTAGTATTTTCGTATCCCTACTGACAACTTTTTTAACTCTAATAAAAATTTCAGGCGTGTTAACACGTTTTACCTAATGTGCACACCCATTTAGTTTTTACGTAAGAAACGTCAAAAGTTGATGTCGACCGATCGCGACCAAATTTGGAGGGTAGGCAATGTGAGTTACTATCCTCAGAACTGTCCAAGAACGCGATACTCCCACTCCATTCAATTGAGTCATAAAGTTCAGAACTGTTCCGCGCCATATGGAGGCACCAGGCTATCGCGCACAATCAGAACCGTTCTGAGTAGCCCAAGGCGTAAAGCTCTGGAACTTGAAATTCGCGAATGGAGGACAGCAAGTGACGGTGCCAAACGGTCCAACCCAGCAAAGTTGGATATGACGTTTCGTTTGCATCTTCATCAGGGTGGGACTAACGATTCAATATTGATGGTGGGTCGATTTCGGCATAATTAGGGACGGGCTACAGGATGACGTCCTCGAGGTTTCGAACCTATGCCTCTAAATGGACGAAATCGTCAGGATTTTTCTTAATTATGGCTCGATGGGAACCAAACTCGGCACGTATATATAGGTACCCGAATAGAGTTCTCAGACTGACAGACAGACAGACGAAAGTAAGAAGTTTCACTTCAAATATGCGCACATAGTGCACATACAATTTTTTTTCTATCATACGGTATTATTGTATTTATATTCATGTTCGCTTTTATGCAGACACTGATATCTTCTCCTATATTTAAATTATGTGTTCTGTTGCCCCATACATAATAAAAAATATATCTTTTGTAGTAACCTAATTAAAAACAATTTACGCTTGTTTTAAAATGATAAATGATATTTTAATACTCACCAACTAGATTGCTTTCACTGATTTGTTTTAAAAAATAGCAATAAAGGTTTATTCATATTTCATTAATTAAATTTGTTATTGTAGTAATACGACAATGAAGATCAATATTTGTCTGTTGTATGTTGTATCACATATTTGCTGTAGAGTTGTAATTATGTGTTTTTATCTTTTGTTGCTTATTATCCACGTTTCTGATATGATAATATCAAATCGGATAGAAAAGTAGATCGAGATTACTATTTTGTAAAAATACGTTTTGATAATATTTTGCAAAACAGTGATTCATCAGTAAAAAAAACTGGAATCTTGAGAGTAATTTTTAAATTGCTAAAATTATAAAATAAGAATATTTGAACTCAATCTAAAGATCTGGTATACTGTTTGTGTGTACAGGATGTCCCATTTTCGTGTATTTTGCAGGATTTCTCATTTATGAATTATAAAAATGCGGTTTTCACATTACTATGCTACTTTTTTATTTACATACATATTTGTCCTTGCCATCTTAGTTCTTGAAATACAGGGCGAATTTTAAAATGTAACATTTTTGACCCCCTTTATAGTATTTTGTTTATCATATACCGGGTGCGTCGCAAAAGTGGCTCACCCCTATAACTTTTTAATTTTTCAGATAAAAAACGAGATTTGGTATATTAGTTTACATAAATTAGAATTTATTGACTTATTCAATTGTTTTTGGTCACTTCCTGTTTTACCGGAAATGGCTACTACTTTTGATTTTTAAATAGCACCCTCGGTATATTTTTACTTTATTCGATAGAAAATGACACTCTGAATAGAATGACATATATTTTGACATTTTTGCTTAAAAACAAATCGTATTTTAAATTTCAATCTAGAGTGCCATGGCTGTGTTAAAAACACTAATTTTTAATGAAGTACATAGCCTTGGAAAAATAGATTTGATCGTCTAATGTTTTTCGTGTCTTGTCCTAGCCAGTTAAAAGCTGCCCAAATCATTTCCATCATATCTCAATTTATTTTTAATCATATCTCAATTTTTTTCAAATGGAACAAGGGTGGCTCATTAGCATATTTGGTAAAAGCATTTTTTACGAATAATTTGGTATAGTGATGGGCAAAACTGTTATTTTTAGATAACAGTTGAAACTGTTATAGTTATTTATAAAAAACAGCTTAAAATAACAGCTTAAAATAACAGCTTAAAAATAACAGGTTTCTTTATTTTATTGCTAAATATCTGAAAAGAGTATGAGGCGGTCACCGCCAGGCATGCTGCAGTTGCAAGTTGCAACAATGACATGCTCGGTGGTAGTATTTCCAGGGTGTCAAAATATTTCTAAATATCGATTTATCAAATACCCTCTAAAAATGGTCGTTGTTTACAAATAAGCGCTGTTTACAAATTGCGATATAAAAAAGTCAAAATTCCGCCACTCGTCTATACGTATACATTCCGATCTACCTACACCTTGCCCCTCGATCGGCGTACCTAGATCCTGAATTGCGTAGCAGTGTACAGGGTGCATCTCACTCGACGGGCCAGAAGCTCTTAGTTATAATTTTAACATTTTCGGTCAAAAAATAGCAATATAAGAAAATGTGTAGTATATTCTTCATAAGTAAACCAACTACACACTAGAATTCGAATTAATTTTATACTTAAACTAGCGTGTACCCGCTACTTCGTTCGCGTCGAATTAATAATTTGTAATGGTGATGATAAAGCACAGCAAGAATTTTTATTAACATACAAACTGGATAAAATTTTCTCACATTTGCCAAAAATAAGCTTTAAACGTCGAGCAGTTTAAGCAGAATCGTGGTTAATCAATTACTCAACTTTTTGGAACATCCTGTATTATTTTTTAAAAAATTTCAAAATATGTAAAAAAACAAAATAAATTATGCGTGTCCAAGCGTTTTCCCGAAAGACTAACCGTTTTTTAAATAACAAATATTGTAATATTTGAGGGGCGTTTTCACCCTCTTGGAATTTAAGATTCGAGAAACCTCTCCTTATCGAACCTCAACCCCACAGTCAATCCGTTTGCCAAAAATCAGCTTTAAACGTCAAACAGTTTACGCAGAATCGTGATAACTCAATGGTCACATTTTATGAAACACCCTGTATATATTTTTAAAAAATCTTAAAATATGTAAAACAACGAAATAAAATATACGTGTTTAAGAGTTTTTCCGAAAAACTCACCGGTTTTTATATAAAAAATATTCTAATATTTGAGGGTGGTTTTACCCCCTTAGAATTCGAGTTTCGAAAAATCCCTTCTTATCGAACCTCTACACTCTAAAGTCAATCTGTTTTCCAAAAATTAGCTTTTTACGTCAAGGGCTTTAAGCAGGATCGTGATTAATCAATGACCAGATTTTTCAAAACACCCTGTATACATTTTTAAAAAATCTTAACTGAAATTATTGATATATACTGATATTATTCTGAAAATTTTTCAGAATAAATAAATACCTAAATATTGAAACTTAATAACGTACTGAAACATACAGCGCCATAATATCTCGACCTCCGCCCGTTATGCTCGTAACAGGTTGAAAAGCAATGTATTTAAAACAACTGATGCGTTATTCTCCAACCTGTTTCGAACTTCCATCGACAATCGACCGATCAGCAGCGTTCCTTTCCCTCCGATTATCTCGACCGCCACCCCTGTATGCTCATGTAACCGGTTGAAAAACAACGTATCACAAAATGACTGCTTCTCCAAACCGTTGCAGGCACTCCATCGACAATCGACCGATGCAGCGTTCCTTTTCCCACTCTGTTATACTCGACCGCCAGGCGTTATACCCTGGCTGTTTCAAAAACCTGCTTCTTTTATATCTATTATTTTTAAGCTGTTGTGGGAAGCCCAATACCACCGTCGACGGCATCGACCGAAGCAGCTACGTTCACCGTAGCGCATTCCCCACTCCGTTGTCCGTTGTCTCGCCGCCTGTATCCATGGTTAACGAAATAACATATTTTCCATCCATACTAGTTGTTTTTTGGAATTGCTTCGAGCAGCATAGAATTTCGTGGCGGTGCAGAGCACCGACTTCGTTTTTCGTTTCACGAGCGGCCGATCTCTGTGTCGTTATTTTATATCAGTTATTTTTTAGAAGTAGTAACGGTTGCGTTATGTTATTTCTAAATAATTGTTATAAAATAACAGTTAAATAACAACCCATCACTAATTTGGTACAACACGCTTGGTATTTCGAGTCCAATTGTCGTTATGAACTGCATCTTACAATTTCATATAAACCATATGCGAAAACGTCAAAAGTTGACATATAATATGTCATTCTATTCAAAGTGTCATCTTCTATCGAATAAAGTAAAAAAATGCCGAGGGTTTAAAAATCACAAATTTCAGTCATTTCCGGTGAAACAGGAAGTAACCAAAAACAGTTGAATACGTCAATCAATCCTAATTTATGTCATACACTAACATAGCAAATCTCGTTTTGTTATCTAAAAAAATAAAAAAATTATAGGGGTGAACCACTTTTGAGACGCGCCCGGTATAGATTGTCAAGAATGTGATTTTTTATTTTCATTTAATTTTATTTTGCAAAAGAGTATGGATGCCACAATTAAACAAATTAAAATTAGAATAATAAATTTTGAGAACATATTTTCTATATATTTTTTAATTTTTATTTTTATAGTTTTATTCTCATGTTTATATTTTATAATTTTAGCCAAATATTTCTTTATTGTTAAAGGACATTCTCCTCAAAAGCAGTTGAAGATATTAAGAGATTTCAAACTCAGAAAAATTCAGACTTGAGAGAAACCTTAACGAGTTATGCCTTCCTGCAGTTGAAAACTGCGAAGAAAGTAAGTAAAAAATGATTACAGTAACTAAAGAATACACGGACGTATGTAGGTGAAAATTTATCAAAAATATAAATAAATAAAGATCATATATTCATTCAGACCTGTAAAAAATTAAATTAAAACCCATCGAATAGTAATTTGAAAAAACTACTTGTGAAACAATTAAAATTCCAATTTTTATTTAATTAACAATTTTTTATATTGTCCTGGCACGGCACTGTCTGCTGACAACTGGTAACAATTTGGTCTCTGGTGTTATTGATCCTTGTATTCCTTAGTCATTATTATTTTTATTAGAATTATTAACTCCATAATATATATATAATATAATATAAGAATTATTAACTCTATAAAGGTGGATTTTCATGTCATCCGTTAATGCGATCATCCGACGACGCGACCGACGCGCGACTCACTGATTGGTCATAGCGCTATTTTTCAACCAAAAATTTTTCGTTAACAAAGAAAGTTAAAATAAATTTAACGTTTCATAATATAAAGGATGTTTTGACACTTTTTTGGAAAACATATTCTAACCTTACTTTTTTTAACAAATTTGGAGCATTTATCGTATTGGGAAGTGGTAAATTCTCTTAAACTTCGGCAATATATTGTGCAGATAAAAAAGTTCGTATAAATGTTTGTTCGAAAATGCTTAGTTTCGGTGATACAGGGTGTAGAGGCTTTATTTTTATTTCGAATTTTTCCAAAATAATTTCTGAAGTAACGTCATTATATGGATGAAAATTGGTATCTGGGAGTTTTTTGATATGAGAAATTTGATTTTCATGTCAATATGACTCCTACTTGTAGAAGGTGCCACCTACATATTTTTTAACTGGTTTGAAGAGTAATAACTTTCCGTCCATACCTGTATAGAACTACTGAGTAAAAAATATACATTTACGACGTTTTTTACGTTAAAAATATCTCTTGGTAAAAATCGCTACGAGAAATGGTTCTCGAGATATTTGGAATTGAAATTAGCAATACCTGTCATCATTGACATATATTAAACCGATGACGAATAGTTATTAGACTGAAATCATAAATGTGAAATATTTTTGTGCCAAAAGTTCAACAGAAACTGTTTTATCATAATTTTTTCGACGAAAAATTTGTGATCAATTTAAAAAAATAAAAAGTTTCTAAATTTATCATTTCGGTCAAATAACTATCTACTCCACATGTTTATTTTTTGTCTGTAATGACATGTACTGACTATCTCCATTCTAAATATCTTGAAAACGATTGCTCGTAGAGATTTTTACCAAGAGGATATGGAGGTACAAGTTCGGAGGAAAAGTTATGACTCTTCAAACCTGTTAAAAAATATGTAGGTGGCGCCCTCTACAAGTATCCATCTACTACTCCATCATCTATTTCCAAAAAAATGATTTCCCGTATTTTAAATTACACCATTTAAAAATCATTTTAATCATTATAAAAATAAATTTCAACCTTCTTAAGGCCAACTAGCAGTAAAGGGACCAAATAAATGATATCTAGGGCTTGACTTCGCCAAAATTATCATCGATTGTCAGTCCCGAGCCGTCTTTTTTGGCGCGCCGTTTTTTTTATCGTATGGTACTACCTGCACGGCATATAAATCACACGGCAGGCTAACTCTACCCAGATCCCATTGTTTAAAATTTCTATAAAATTTGACCTTGAAAACACTATTATGGGTGCCGAGTCAGGGCCGGATTAAAACGTATCAAAAAATTTCCCAGAAAATAAACTATTGCTAGACAGGGTCGTATTAAAAAAATACTGTAATTGAAATTGACTGAAACTGAATTTTATTTACACAATACTTTTATCTAAACAAATGAATCGTTAACCGCGCATACTCCTCAAAAAGTAAAAAAGAAAAAATCAATTATTTAACTTTAGAGAATAGACAATTAAAATTAATAAACATGCCAGGAGCAGGGTGCGGAAAACTACATGTTACTTTTAAAAACTATATAAACTACATTACATGTAGTTAATGTAGTTTATGTAGAGGATGTAGTTTATGTAACCTATGTATGTAACTTTCAAATATCAAAGGTTTGAGGTGAGGTTATAATAAGTTGAAGCTTTAAAAACACATAATGTATTTAAGAAAACAGAAGAAATATGACTTTAAATATAATATTTACATCATATTATCTCTATTACACCTCATACAAAGGGAAATTATTCATAATTTCAATACATAGTTTATTAACGTAGTTTTCATGTAGTTAATAAACAGGAAAATACGTAGTTTTTGAAGGAAAACTACACGTAGTTAATCGAGTAAATTACGTCTTAACTACTTCCGAACCCTGGCCAGGAGTTACAAACAAGAATTAAAGAAATACCCAATAAATTATCTATTGAACAATCTAAAGAGGCTACGTACAAATTATGTCCATCAATGGACATCGCAAATTTTGTTAATATTCAAATTGCACAAATTAACAAATCAGCTAAAGGAAGAAAAGTAACTGATGAATTTAAATATAAATGTTTGGCTATATTTTTAAAAGCCAAGCCGTCAAAAAAAAATTGAGCCGTCAAATTTGACAGCTGTCAAAAAAATTTCAAAGTTGTCCGATTTTGATAAAAATCGATATATAGGATGGCCATGGGCTAAAATGAAAGAAAACAAAATTGAGCTGTCAAATTTAACAGCTGCCAAAAAAATTTCAGTGTTGTCCGGTTTTGATAAAAATCTATATATAGGATAGGATGGGGCCATGGGTTAAAAGGAAAGAAAAAAAATTGAGATGTCAAATTTGACAGCTGTCAAAAAAATCTCAAAGTTGTCCGATTTTGATAAAAATCGATATATTGGATGCTCCCTACCCCATAGTCGGTTTTCATTTTATTTGTCTCACATTTGAACTGTCAAATTTGACAGCTGTCGTTTTTTTAAATTCTCCTTTTTTATGAAAATCGATACACATATTATTAGGATGCCCATAGGTAGTTATTTAAGAAAAAGAATTGAGTTTAAGTGTATGGCACTGAGAAACCAGCATAACTTAAAAAGTAAAAAATAAATTTAAGAAAAAAAACTTTTTAAAAACACGCTTTTATTTAAATACATTAAAAAGAAAAAATAAACTTTTTCTTTAAAACTTTTATTATGTCATTACACAATTTTATATTATATAAAAGCTTAGCGACAAGCGATTTGAGTGTACAGTTGCACTCATAAAAATCTGGTACAACTTTATCTTGTAATTCCTGTAATTCTTCTAATTCCAATATCTTGTAAACCTGTCATTATTCCCATCCAAGATAAATTCATCCAGTTTAGAAGAACATTTAAAAACTTTGTGTCCGAATATTACATACGGGTACTGAAAATTGCCAAAATGATCTGGCGAACATCTTATTAAAAACGGCAGACCTTGTAAAAAAACGACACCTCTTTTCTTTTCTCTCTGAATTGTCATGAGCTATCCATAAAAAAAAACAGTAATTTAGAAATTAATCTTGTTTGTCATTTTGCAGGATACCTAATAATAAAAATTACTTTGAATGCCGTAGACAATGACTGAGTATTAAAACTAAAAGAATTTCGGACTTCCATTGTACTACTAAACTACAAAAACCAAATATATCACACAATAAACAAAAATAAAACTAAAAAAAAAACAAAATATATCACTCAAAAAAAGAATAAAATAAATTAAGCCGCACGCTACTGACTCAAAGCTGCCGTAACCAAAGAGTAGATAAGACAAGAGACGACAGTTCGTGCGGTACCTTTCATGTTTGAGTGGTGGGGAGAGTGACCTCGTCTCGCTTGTCCCTTTAAATTTTCGTAATTTTTTCGCGGGAAATTTGAAACAGACTATTATTAAAACTTGCCTGTATAGCTTATAAATAGTTACTGTATGGGTAAAGAAATAAATAGAAACGAAAAAAAAATGAGTTTTCTAAATATTATATAAAATACATTATAATTAGAAACATGTTTGTCGGGGAATAAAGATAATAAAAGTAATATTTTGTATATCGTTGGTAAACAAGATAAAGTGACCAAGTCGATTTGTAAAAAATGTTTTATTTACTTGTATTTTTTTTACATATGGACTTGAACAAGTGTAATATCACAATGTGGAGTTTATGTACAAAAAAATAGAGTTGCTCAATTTTTTTGTAAACATATATTACAAGCTTCTAACCATGTCTTTGATCTATGGATTACATTTAGTTTAATAACATAATTATATAGTATATTTCTATAAAAATACTTTTCAGGATCCTTTGGAAAAGAGTGAAATATTATGTTTGTCGAAAAATAAGACCTATTTTTGCAGTCTTTATAAGCACACACATTGCCACCATCTCGTCTTTTCCTGCTCTACTCGTGTCCTGTTCAGTATTCATATTTAACAATAATTACAAATTGGTACGCAACAAAAACGATACTAAAATTAAACCTTAAAAACTCTCAAAACGATAATATATCGAAAAACTCTTAAAACACACTTTAAAAAGGCAGAAATGCAAGAAAACAACTAATCAGATTTGTTTATGTTTAAGCCTGTTTAGCAAAGCTGATTAGCGTCCTAAAATCATAGGTTAGATTAAATAAAATACGCCGTTGTCAGATTTTGAGATTTTATCTGTTTATCTTTGAAATCGATCAACTTAGTCATTCTGTTTCTTTGATATTATCAGTACATTGCGAAAAAAGAACCTAAACCAACCTAAACTAAAAATTTACATTTCCGTATTAACATACGTTACTTATATCTTTCTTATATTATTAATTTATTTTCAGAAAATCTTGTTTATTTTTTAAAGAAATATACTTGGCAACAGACAAAATGGGACTTGATGGGACCTTTAAATTTTAATATATCTGCGTCTCTCTCGCGAAATTCGACTTCTTTGTTCACTGTCGTCTCTTGTCTTATCTACTCTTTGCCGTAACTGTACGTTGTCGATGACAAAGACTACGACTGACTACGACACTGGTTAATTTCTGTCGCTGGCACCCATAGAATAACTAACTGGAAGAAATGAAAACTCCTATGTTAAAGCCTGGAAACACGCGCTCGACGCGATCCAAGCGGGCTACTGGCAGAACTAAAAGTTCGCGCCATATTTTTAAATGGACCTTTACTGCCAGTTCATAAGTTTTTTACTTATATTTGGTAATTGCAATCTAGATTATGAACTTATTTGTAACAAAACATTTTACAAAATAAAAGTAATGTATTTTGATACAAATAAATTAATAATCTAGGTTGAAATTATCCCTGAAATTAGAATAAAACACGAAAAATCTGTAACTTTATTATTTTATTATAACATTGTTAAAATTACATAATAACACATTCAACACTATACAAGTATATATAAAAGTTATCAGAATTTATACAATCAGTTATAAGTAATTATAAAAAAGGTTATAAATTATAAATAAATAATTCATTATATAAAAGACATATAGTTACCGTGAATATAATTTGGTATAACTTTAATCTCAACTTTAATGACCTATTCAAATAGAAACATCTTACAATTCACATTATATAATACACAAAGCCAAGGGACAAAATTGTTATTAAATCTATTCTCGATGACTCGAAGCATTTTTTTTTCAAATAAAACAGGACATATAGGGCTTATAAATAATACAAGGGTATAGAAAATATATAAATAAGTAAATACAAATATATTTTCAACCTAATGATTAATGATTATACTCGTTTAAATAAATAAATGATCTTTTTAAAATTACTTGTTTGTCTTTGCAAATTTGTATATTTAATATTTATCTAAAAGCGTACACTTACATAAATTACTGCACAACCTTTAAAATTAAGCTTTTAATATGTTATACAAATTCTTGATTCGATATAAATACACTTAAATAAAACTTTAAAATTAATGATCTTCCAAATTTCTGAGACAGCCATTTTGTTGAAAGAATTTGTTTTGATTATGAGAAATTTCATAAAAATTATCACAGGGATTAATTAATCTTATATATTAAACTACTTGGCTTTTAAATTTCACAATCCTATCGTCCAAAATACTCTAAATTCGCAAAAATCCGTAAAATATTCCCATAAAAACAAATCACAATTCACTTCCACTTCACAGAAACTGACAGACATTGCCAAATATGGAATGACGTTTATTTTTCAATTTATTTTACTGATCTAACTGATCCGGGTCACTTAGAAATTAAATTTTTATTAAATTATTTAATTATAATTGTTTCTGGCGAAAGCAACTTCATATCAATGTTTATTCATAGGGTAACAAAGCACATCACTGTTAAATTATCAACATTTTATATAAATATTTATATTTTTCAACTACTCCAACTACTCCAATTACTCCACAGAGAATCAAACGAATTGGTAATTAAACTATACTCTGTGGATGACTTGATAAAATCATGATGAAATTACAGTCCCTAGATGAATATCTAGGGACTTTAGATGAAATTTCTACGCAGCGCCATCTATCCCTCTACTGGCAGAAACTCCGCCGTGTTTCCAAAATTCAAATGGCAGTTTCATCCGCCTGCTGGCACCCATAAAGGCGGCGTGCGCAAGGGTTTGCGCGTAGCGTTCCCGCCAAAGCGAGTTGGCCTGCCGTGTGATTTATATGCCGTGCTACCTGTATATTAAACATAAATCTATTTTTATTATATTTCAGGGTTTACAAACATGGGTACAAATTCGGGACTGCCTTCTAAACATTCCATGAATATAAGAATATTTATATTTTCCATTATTTTTAAGTATTTTTCACAATTTTTCCGTAATTAAGTAGCACCAACTCCAATACTATTGTATATTTATATAAGGTCACACAGAAACAAGGTTCATGAGCAAATTTTGAATCATTTAGCATTTTTATGACTATGAATACTGTATCTTTATATATTTATCATTTTAAGTATATTTTTTGTTATATTTTGAGAGTTATATTACAGATTTAGACATTTAACATATTATTGATGTATACTAAAATAATATGGTATAATGTTTATTATATTTTAAGCATTTTTACACTTTAAGTAAACTTACTTCAAATACTATTTGTTGTTACAAATAGTATAAAGTTGTTATAGAGACACTCAAATACTCCAGCAAATATTTAATGTTCTAATAGTATTTATATTTTTTTTGTTTTGCATCTGTACTTTTTTTTAGTTTATTCATTGTTATGTTTATATTGAGATCATATTTCTGGAAATAAACATTTTGAAATATTTTGGTAACTGTATAAGTTTTTAATACCTGCATTCATATTCGCGTTTTCATTATGAGGTATAATTTTTCCATCGTTTAGAATGGCTGCAGAGTAATGGTTGAAACTACTGGATTTATAAACTTACTAACTTTGGTGAAATAAGGTTTATATGTATCCGTCATATGTTTAGAGTTTATATGTATCCGTCATGCGTCATCCGTCGCTCCGTCACACCAATCGTGTTGAGATATTACCTGTCAGTAAACTGTACATATACTATACTGACATTACATGAGTAATTTTCAATTCTTTCATGAGTCTTTCTATGACTGAAAAGCCCGATACGTGATGTTATCTGTCTACCGCACTCCGGACATTCAAAAATCTCATTGCTTTGTTGCTTCTTCACTGATTTTACAGATTGGTGGAATGTCATATTTATTTATTTACAAAGCCGTATTCAAGAGGGCAGACCAAAAGATTGTGGCTAAATCGGCAGACAGTTATCAAAAGCGCGATATTACTCTTGCGCTTTCCAGGGAACGCTCGCCGCCTCATCCATTTAAGTATAGATAAATCATGTATACAATTATATTATAAATATATTTTTTTATTATTTCAATAACAGATATCATACATTATTATTATGTCCCACTATTTTGATCTGACTCATCGTACTGCAGATCCTCGCTCTCGCAAACGAGTCTTTCTCTCAAAATTTTTGTAGACTTACATGTATTACGTTTCAATTGATAAACGTGCCGAGAGTTTCCTGAAAACGTTTATAAGTACAGGATGAGTCTTAAATAAGTGCATATACTTTTAGGGGTGATACATTTCGACCCCAGGAACACGTCTATGAGGATTTTTTTCGAAAAAAAAATGTTGAATATCGTGCATTTTCTTGTATATTTTAGAAAACTTTTTAGAATTGCCTGTTCACCGCAAATTTACCCACGGTACAATTGAATCGGTCATTTGGGAAAGGTGGCATGTCCACTTTTTCAAATTTTACAGGAGAGACAAAAAACGTCTCAAATAAGTATTTTTCAGAAAAATGTTGTTTTAAATTTCTTTTATGATAATAGGGGGTAAAAGTTACTAAATTAACCTAAAAATTTTAGTTTGTGGTATACAGGGTGTTTGAAATTTATCCTGTTTTTGTTTTGAGATGACCCGTTTTCAAAATTAACCAACGAAAAAAACCTAAACCAAACAAAACTGACATATTTTAACAAAAATATTATTGCTTTGTTAATAATACAAAAACTTAAACTACAACAAACTCTGAACAAAAAAATCTTTCGGAAACACATTAATATCCTTCCTCTGGTGGCTCATCTACATTCGTAGTAGGCCACTCACAGATCTCATTGTAAAATATTTTTAAGTTTTCTGGGATATATTGAAGAAGTTTTTTTCAGGTCATTGATTTTTTTCTCATTGATAGATATTTTTCCTTGATACGCTGGGTTGTTTTGACAACTAGGAATGACCAGATGTGGAGTATCATTCTGCATAGTCTTTGCAAGAAGAAAGCGTTCCTCCAACACGTTATCGATGTACGGTTTTTCGATTACAACGCTGCAACGCTCTTTCAAAGTTAAACTCATAATACTGATTAACTGCAAAACTCGCCTTATTTTCTTTGGGAACCCCCTTGCCAATGCTACGCAAAGAAAGAACTTTTTTTTTAAATACATAGACCACCAGGTTTTGAAAGCAGCTATGTCTTGATGAGTGACATGTTTAACTTTGAATTTGTTTTTAGTGGACGATTGAACAATTAGGTCTTCATATTCTTAGGACTATAGATACGGTCGTGGCGCCGAATTTTCTTTTCACCGTAGCAAAATCTCTGTCACAGTCGTTGAACGAATGGCCACGTTGGGGAAAATAGATTGATATAATATTGGGTTTGTTCCAACGTTTAGCCAAACTAAATAGAACAAACTAATCAGCGTCTATCCGATTGGTCAATATCAATCGTAAAGTGGTGTGTTAGAACAAACTTAAAAAATGTCTATACCTATGTGGCGAATTCATCTCTCCAAAAAAATCTTTTATGGGTATTTCGCCACTGCACTGCAAGAAAAATCTACAAAATAAAATAGTTATTTTTTGTAAACACTTCTGCGTTAAACCTAAACGGAAACTGCTTGTCATAAGTTATGTTTACAGTAATAAAAATTCGCCTAACAAAGAAAAAATGCTTAACGTTTCGGAAAGTTTATCTCTTTCCGTCGTCGGAAGCAAAAAAATACAAAAAATAAAGAAAAGAACTATTTAAAATATTTAAATTCTACTATTCGAGAACACTTTACTTTTTTTAAAACAGATACGTCTAAAAGAAACTGTTGACGTTCTGTTAAAATGACATTATAACAGAACGTCAACGGTTTCTTGTAGACGTATATCAAAACTTGATATATATCGGATATATACACAACCAAATTTATATGGAATCACCTATTATTTTCCATAATTTTTGAGATGTAGAAAAATTTTCATTGTTTATGAATAAAACTCAGTCCTTACCAATGACTTTTAATGAAAAATAATCCATATAGGAATAAAAAAAAATAATCAGTTCCCAAAATAAACAAAATGGTATTTTTTTGGTTTCTGAAACGAAATTAAGATTTAAATTTTTAATGGCCAAAAAGCTTAAACAAAAAGAAAATTGATAATTTTAATATTCTTTGTTCCCACCTCTAGCCCTTATGCAAGCTTCTATCAGCGCTGGCATGCTTCTTGTTAAATTATCCATGTTGTCTTGGGGTATGTTTTTCCATTATGCTAATGCTGCATCAATAAGCTGTGCGAGATTTCCTGGTTTGTTTCGACGAGCTCTAACACTTCTTTTGAGCTAGTCCTACAAGTGTTCGATATGGTTTAGATCTGGTAAATAGGCAGGCCAGTCCAAATCTATGACACCTTCCGTTTTAAGACGTTCTCTAGTCACTCTGCTGGTATGGGGAGGTGCACTATCGCGCATGAAGTTAAAATTATCCCCAATTGCAGCTCTCCAAAGACTAACCATTGGTTCTAGCACCAAATCAACATATCTCCGACCCGTTAAAATTTGCTGAAATGGTAACAATGGAGTTTTTGCTCCTAGTATAATACCTCCCCAGAACATTACAGTTCCTCCTTTATATCTTGGTACAGATTTGGTAGCCTGAAGTCTCGTTCGTCTTCCTGGAGCTCTAAGAACCCGAATTCGATGGTTATCTGATCTTAGGCCAATTCTGCTCTCATCCGAAAAAAGAACATTTTGCCAATTCTCAGTTGTCCAGTTTTGATGCTGAAGGCATCAATTTAACCGGTCAATTTTATTTTGCCGAGATAACTGTGGGATCCGTAACTCTCTCCTACTGTAAAACCCTCGTGCACGAAGACTTTTTCTTATGGTTTCAACTGAAATGTTCACACTTGTAGCTGCCAGAAGTTGTCTTTGTATCTCTGAATGAGAAACATTGCGATTTATTTTACTAATTTAGCACACAAGGCGGTCTTGTTGTTCAGTTGTTACTCTTTGGCGAATTTGTATGGGCTTATCCTTATGTGTTCCTAATTCCAAGTATCTTACATGTGTTTTCGATACAACACCCTGGGTAACGCCTACTATCTCTGCTACGTCTCTCTGGAGCATTTCTTATTCTGTGAGAGCAATAATTCTTCCCCTCTGTACATCTGTTAATCCAACATAAAACACTTTTTAATTTTTTTGGATTGAATGAAAATTACCGGACAATCGTGATTTTTACTACTGTACACAAAATTCAAATGAAAATAAATCGCAGCAGTCGTTTATTCTTTATTCTCATGTTTATTTACAACAAAAAGCCTTATCTTAAAGTTGTATACCAATTTTTATCCTTGCAAGAAATTTAGTCAGATATAAAGAGTGATTCCATATAAGTTTGGTTGTGTATATATCCGATATTTGATATTTATATAAAAATTTGTCAACCCTGGGATTGCGCTGGCAGACATGACTATATTTCAAAATTGGTACACAAAAAGAAAAAAATTGCTATGTAACGATGATAAGGTTTTTTATGTAGCCCTCCGTCTATTACGTCCTCCTATGTTAACATTTTTTCGACAATTTTATTACAGTTGAGGGTTGGAACCTTTGGTGTTACACAGCAAAATAAAAACACTAAATCACCACAGTTTTGGTGTATTGTGGTGATTTAGTGTTTTTATTTTGCGATAATTTTATTAACATTTGCAATTGTCAGAACCCAACGTGACGCCCGGTTCGGTTAGGTCTACATCACACAAACCTTGTACCTGTGCGTTTTATAGTTTTAATAATTGCACTAGTAAAAACTCAATTATTGACGGAGCACCGGTACTCTGTGTATTGTATATGATTGGTGAAAAAAAAGTTTCGAAAAAAAAGTTTCAACGGCATCGGCACCGCAAAAACGCGCAGTGTGCCACAGTGCAGTGTGCAGTATGCGCAGTTTAACTGCGCAGATACGCTAAACTTTTTATTAGTTTATTTTTTTTTTAGAAAAACTTAAATTGTTATTTTTTTTAACAACTCCTTTCCTATTTGCTTCCGAATCAATCTCCTTAAATCACGTTAGCATCAGGCGACAAAAAATTGAGCGCCTTTAAGGACCTACACGGGCTGCCGGAACTTGCCCCATACGTACCGACATACCTGCATAAATTAGGTTTGCACAGGCGGTCTGAGCCACAAAACTGAACGTCTGTGGGGGCCTTAAAACTGTACAGGGTGTCCCATTTTGGTTGAAATCATACGGTATCTCCGTTATTCGTGAAGATAGAAGGGTGCGGTTTGCACAAACCTGTGCCACTTTTTTGTCAAACGAGAGATGCCGTAAACAAAATTTTCATAGCCCTCTTCGTTTATGAGCTTAAGGTCTTTTTGAAAATGTTGCAATTTGGGACTCCTCCTGTATCTCTGTTATTGTTAAAGGTATTGAGAAGGTAAAAACTGTTTATTGTAGAACTTTTTACGTAGAATACAGTGGCGTAGTCTGT